GCAGTGCAGTGCACTCAGCGCCGAATGAGCTGAATGAGCCGACTGTTAGTGTTTGGGCTGCATTGTAGGTTTCACGCAGACAGAGCTGTGACCACAGGGCCCAACCAAGTGTCTTATTTCAGATCCCCGCGGACCTCTTGCATCTGGGGCATCTGGTCCACTCGGGGCAGCACAGGTGGCCTCTGCCTTTGTTTCCAGTGCCTTGCTCTCTGCTCTCAGACACCTGCAGGACCCAGGCCCTTTTACCCCTAGGTGAGATGGCCTCCCTGGCCCTGAATGGCATCCAGTATGGGCTGCAGGAGGCCAAAGGCTAGGTGCTATTGGCCAGGACAGGGGGGCTTTCCATCCAGTGGGTGGCCTCAGGGAGTTCCACTCGAGTGTCCCTGGCCCCCACCCCCAATCAGCCCAGTGTCTGGGGGCAGCCACATTTGATCTACTTGCCATGATCCTTGTCAAGTCTGCTCCTAGTACCTCTTCCTGTGGGCGTTTTTAAATCTCAGAACTCCAGCTCCGGCCCTTGTGGCCATTTGGGGAATAAACCAGCGGATTCAAGATCTTCCTCCCTGTCTCTTTCTGTAAATCTGACTTTCCAATAAAAATAAATAAATCTCAGAGTCCAGTCCCTGGCACAGTCAGGGTGATTTTTTTTCTTACCTCTAGAAAAGTCTCCTGGTTTTCCAAGGGCACCAGGGAGGTGCCACAGCCCCTAGGGAGCCTGGTGAGGGTGGCTGGAGCCAGGATGGTGTCCCACAGGTGGAATGTGAGGAATGGACAGCCAGGGCTCCTGTGGGCTGCGCCTCTGTCCCAGCCCTGCCCACATTCCTCTTGCTGGGAGCCTGGGGTTGCGGCCAGGGCTTGGGGATGCTCAGGCTGCTTTGATCCCTACCTCCTGCCTCAGCCCCTCACAGGGTCCTAGACTGCACACCCCTTCCCCGCCCCTTTTGTATAAACAGGAGCCACCAGTCTTGTCGGGCCTGCAGTTAACACTGGAAGGGTCTAGAAGGGTCTGCAAGGAGCAGGGCCAACGCTCAGTCCAACCCAGGATTAGGATCCTGCTGGTCCAGGGCAGGATGTTCCTGGGGCCTATTGCTAATTTGCAGTTTGACATCAGCCCTGGGTCAGAATGTATCATAACCCCCACCTGGGGAAGAGGGGAGCCTGTGCTGGAGGGAGGGCTTCTGTAAAGAATGGAACCTCTTGCCACTGCAAGCCCTGAACTTTGCAACTAGGAGAAGGAAGTGCAAAGGGCCTGAGGCAGCAGGGTGTGTGTGTGTGTGGGGGGGGGGGTGGCCCAAGTCACACAACACACACACACACACAAGCCAGAGCATAAGGGCAGTTGTAAGACGTGCAAAGGAAGGCCAGAGCAAATGGCCAGCAAGCCCAGAGTGGAGCAGGTGTGAGGGGACGTAGAGGGAGGTGGTGACACAGCAAGGGGGACAGGAGTCGGGGTTGGCAGGCCTCCGGGTCTATGTGCCTAATGCGCAGGCTGGGCCAGTTGGGCCGCATGAACTTTCTCGGCTCTGCAGGGTCCCTGCCATGGACTCTGCCAATGAGTCTTTATTTTTTAAAGAAAGATTTATTTATTGAAAGGTGGAATTACAAAGAAAGTAAGAGAGAGGAAGTGAGGGAGGGAAGGAGAGAAGCAATTATCTCCCACCCTTTGGTTTGCTCCCCAAATGGCTAGAGCTTGGCCAGTCCAAAGCCAGGAGCCCAAAACTTCTTCTAAGTCTTCCATGTGGGTGCGGGGTCCAAGGCCCATTAACAGGGAGGTGGGTTGGAAGTGGAGCAGCTGGGAGACTTGAACTGGTGCCCATATGGGATGTTGGTAGACGGCAGACTGTGGCTTTATCTGCTATGCTACCAGTACCAGGAGTCCTTTCTTCTCACCACCCTCTGCGAAGGGCGACTGTCCTCTTTGGCGATGCATTAGGCATGTCATTCCCTGGTCCTCACCATGATGGTGTTTAACCACGTACAAGCCTTAGCTTTAACCTGCTCAACTCTTTTTCCTGAGAGGGTCGGCCCGTCCTTGCCCTTCTGGCTGTATGTTGGTTAGGGTACTAGGGTACGAGCTAGGAGGGGGTTTTATTGACTCCTCACTGCTGTCCTGGCAGTGAGCAGGTCCAGGACCAGGCCGGTGAAAACCCATGGCTCTTTGGGCAGGTCAGGTGCTTCGGGCCAGCCCCGGCCAGGAGCATGTCCCCACTGGGCGACCACAGGGAAGGAGAGCAGACCTGGTTGCTCTTCTAATGCCATGCTGCCCGCCCTCACCCTTTCCTGCCCAGCACGCCCTCTCCTGCTCCTTACAGGGAGAGAATGGAGCAAGAGGGGAACACGGTCTTCTCGGCATCGTTGGCCACCATCCCTGGGCGCCTTCGTCACAGCAGCTGTGCACACATCTGGCATCAGATGTGTCTGGGGACCCAAGCACTTCCTTTTTGTTTCCAGCACCTGCTGTGGAGGAACCCTACAGCCTTTGTGACACGTCGGGGTGACAGAGGGTCCTCCTATACCCGAGCCTCCAAACTGGCCTGCGGGATGGCCTGGGGGCTCAGCTTAGTTCTGGAAGCCAGGTCACGGACTGGAGAGTGGCTGAGATACCAGGGTGATTTCATGGGTGGTCCGTTTCTTCATCCCCCAATGAGGCATACTCGAATGGGAAATGAGACAAGCAGGCGGGACGGAGGCATCCTTCATCATCTTTTACTATGACACAGCAAGAGCATCCGCAACCAGAAGGGATCGCACCGTGACGCCATCTGACACGACCCCTTCTTCCCTCATCCACCAGTGACTCCTCGCAGTGCATAGGTAAATAAATAAATAGATATCTTTGTCCATGGCGATGATTCGCCAGGAATGTTTAAATACAGAACCCACTTACACATCCAGCTCTCCCTGCCCCCCACCCCCAACACACAAAACCAGGACCAGCTGTCAACAAAAGGAGATGGACAAGCATTGCTGAGGGTCACTGTCCTCTTAAAGGCTCGACTCTGCAGAACACCACAGCCGGAGCCAGCAGAACGGTTCTGTAGACGAGAAAGGGTCTGGCGGATGGTCCAGGAAGGATGGGTCTGTGAAATGATCCGTCCCGGAACACCTGAGTCCAGTGCTGAGGACTTCCCAATGAACCAAGCCAATGTCCCCGGCCCTTCCAAAAGTGTTTGCCGCCTGATGATCCACAGCGGGAGAGCCTTGCATGAAAAGAGCTTGGAAACTCAACAGAAGCACAGACAAGACACAGGTCATCTCACCAGCCCTTTCCGGGAAGAGGAGAGCAAGTGTCATCTCCCCGTTGGCTGACTCACAGGCAAGATCTTCCCGGGGCAGCGGCCCCTCAACTTCCCCAAGAGCAGCGAGACAGAGTGCGCCGGTGCGCCATGTTAGGAGAGCTGGTCCCCCAGGGCGGGAAAGAGGTTAACTATCATCATAGGTCACCAGGGGCGAACCTGGGGCCTGGTGAGCCCGGGCTAGTCACAGGTGGAATTCTCCATCTTCCCGGAGCTAGCAGTGTATGGAAAAGTAGCCGGGAGGGCGGGGCGTCAGGGGCGTAGCCCCAGGAGCCGCCGCTGCCCCACCTGCAGAGCAGCGGACAAAGGTAGCACCAAGGGACCTGCGCAGCTGCTGCACGCCAGCAGGTAGTGTGACAAGGTAGGCTAAGACCACCCAGCCCAAGAGAGGGGGTGGCCTGGTGTGCGCAGAGGACTGGGAGGGAGCCAGGCTGCCTCCCTGGGGTTCTGGGGCGGGGGCGGGGGGACGCTTTTGTCACCCTTTCCCAAAGCTGTTTCTGGAGGCTGGGCATTTAATGCAGTGGGGGCAGCCCAGGCTGGCAGTGGGGAGCCCTTTCCCACCCCCCCTCCCCAAAGCCCTTGCCCTGGCTGCTGCTGGTGGTTCTTTTCCATCTCAGGGCCTCGTTTCCCTCAGCTGTCAAAGGCAGGCTGTGGACTTGAACCTGGTGAAACCCCCAGGCTGGCGTGTGTCTCCTGGCACTGTCTTCTCCATCCTGTTCCTTGCAACGCCGAGGTTGCAGCAAGAGCTCCAGTTTGTGCACCTGACTCCACCTTCTTTTGGGAGTCAGGGGATGCCCAGCTCCATCCTAACTGAATTCTGTCACCAGCTCCAGCAGGTGGTGCAGGAACGTCCAAACCAGGTTGACCACCGTCTGGGAACTCCTTTCACCTCGCTGACATCTCCGTGCACCCTCAGAGGGGCCCGCCCCTCCATCCTTGGGGATCCTGGGGACACCCAGCTGGAGACAGCATCTTCTACTGCTCAGCTCCAGGTGCAGTGAAGGAAGCCATAGACCCGAAATCTCACAGCCCTAGTCCAGGTCCCAGCCCCCCTCAGCCCCCCTCAGCCCCCACCCCTCTAAGTCTCCTGCTCTGCCATCTGCCCGTCAGCAGGTAGCCAGGTCCGGCTCGCAGGCTCTGCGCATGCGTGCCAGCTCCTAAGCCGTGGGAGGTGGCTTCCGCTCACAGGAATGCAGACCTCTTTGGGCCCAGGCCCTTTGTCCTACATCTACCACCCTAAGGCATCGTTGGAGACTATAGGGGCCCCCTCAAACGTGGCCCAGTCCCTCCCCCACTCCCAGGCCACCTCCTCTGCTGACAACACATGTCAGGCCTCCTCTTGGGGTCCCTAATGCCTCCCCACCCTCCCCGCCACTTCCCCCAGTGAAGAGGCACACGTTGGTGAGAAGCACCCAGGAGGCTGCAGGAACCAGGGTTCCAGGAGAGGCCAGCACTGGCCCAGGCAGCTGCAGGTGGAGGCTCATGGGGCAGGTGGCAGCACCAGGTGGGTGTGTGGGTGGGACGGCGGGGAGAGGTGTTTCTGATTCCTCCGCTTGGCTCAGCAGGGCTGACCTGATGTGAGCTCTGTCCCCAGCCCCAGCGGCAGCTGGCCAGAGCCCCAGATGGGGAACCCGCCATCCTGCCCCCACCCCCCAGGGCGCCTGTCCGCCAGCAGGGTGGTATCCGGGTTACAGGTTTTCTTGCTCACAGCTTCTTCTTTCTCAAAACGGGGATGGGCACCACCTGGAAGATCTTGGCACTGAGGTCCTCGGTGTGCAGGCTCACCCACACGGGCCGGAAGCCGCCTTTGAAGCCGACAAACACCATTTTCTCTGGAAAGTGGAAGCAGAGACACAGTCTGAGCAGAAGGTCCCGGGGTGGAGGGGTGGGGTGTAATGGGGTAGGGGTGGGGAAAGTCCACATGCACCCCTTTCGTGGGCTCCCTCACTGACACCAGCTCCCCGCTCCCTTAGCCACGTGGCACTCTGGTCCCTTGGGAAGAGCTCAGGGTCCAGCCACTGCTGGTGCCTGGCATATGTTCATTTGGGGCATGAAGTGTCCCTGATATCGTGGGAGCTTCCTAGGCAGCGGAGTAGCCTCCTTCTACCCAGGAGAGCCGTGCACAGCAAGCGGGGAGCGAGGCAGACCGTCCCCGCCACCAATACCACACGCAGGGACCCTGCAGTCACCAGCAAGTCCCTGCCCTAAACCCTGGGTTCCCCTGTGGCAGCTGCTGGCATTCATCTCCGCCAGCTCCCTACCGTGGCACTGTCTGTCCCCTCCCAGTGCTCCCCCCCCCCGTGACCCTGCATGGCACTCACTTGCCATGGGGTTGAAAGGCCAGCCACACTCGGCTTCGGCAATGGGCGGCTCCAGGACTGGGCTATTCTCATCCCCAGGTTCTCCTTGGAGCCTGGGCTGGCCTGAAGGGCTTTGGTGGTTCCTGATGTTCCTCCGTCCCAAGTCAGGGTTCAGCACCCTGTCTGCAGGCAGGGCCCCAGCACCTGGCTCTGGGCTGGGGGATTAGCATCTGAATCCTAATCTGAGTAAGGGATTCCACAGTGTGTAGTGTACAGGCCAACACGAATCCTCTTGTGACTTTTTTTTTGTCAAATAAAAGGCTACTTGCTAAGCAGACAGGTCAGCCACACCGGCCATCTTTTTTCAGTGTGGGGTTGCAAGTGAAAAATAAACTTGCTGATAGCAAGAGGGTATTCTAAACATTCATGGAAATGTGTATTGCAAAAACGAACAAGCAAACAAAACTCCAAATATATATATATGTTTGTGCCCAAACACATCTATCTTCGGATTCTGTTGTTCCACATATTTTTGGAAGCCCTTTGTCCAGGACAGGTGGCCAGATGGCACCCGTGCCTCTCCATTCCAGAGCACCTGATGGAAGTGAGGGCTTCAGACAGGGAGATACCTATGTGTGTGGGGGAAGAATGTTCTAGACTGAGCGAGGGTCCCAGTGGCCTCCACGTTGGTCCTTGGAACTCTTACCTTTCAACTTGAGGCCCTTGTCTGCCCCGAGCTTTTCCAACACTCTGGTCCACGGGGCCCTGCTGCCGTGCCTTCCTTTTGATGTCATGAGGACTATGGAACTGAACGAAAAGGGAGCTGTTAAGCTGAGCGAGCAGACCGCACAGAGCAAGGAGTGCTTGGGTAGGGCATCGGCTGGAGCTGGCAGCCCCCTGGAGAAGGGAAAGGCCAGCCTCTCCCACGAGCCCAGCTGACGGGCTTTTTGCGAGTGCGGTCACAGGGGCACCCTGAGGCCCCTCCCACCCATCTGGCAACAGCTGGTGTCCATGGCCTTTTCAAGCCTGTATTCGGCTGGCTGCTTGCACATATCCGTGGCCACACAAGAAGGAGAACACAGATCAGGCACAGCACCTGGGGGTGCCACACGAGCACTTGTACCAGGGTAGGTCACACATTGTGTGTGTGTGTGTGCATGTGTGTGCGTGTGTGTGTGCTGGGGGAGAGAGGATAAGCCTTTCTTCATCTGAATCTTAACCCTACTGGGTAGGCCCAGAGAGGAGCAGAGGAAGATAAAGTGAGAAAGAGGATGTACAAAGGGAACAGGAAATGGGGAAGGGGATGAAATGGGGAGGGGGATGAAGGAGCAGGGGATGCAGCCACCAAATGAGAGACACCCAGGAGTCCCAGGGGGACGCTCTGCCTGGGGGGCACCTGGCCACTCATCAGAAACTCAGAATGAGCCAGCCTACATCGGTAGCTGTGCTTTACCAACCCTTCGAGGTGGCTGTGAGCATCCTAACGGTTCAGAAGTATTGTGCCGGAAGAGCCTCACTGGACCCCGTGTGGTCACCTCGTGCTCCACCATGCCTCAGGAGGAGATGAAAGCAACTAGTGGCAAGGGATCCAAGAGGCTCCCCATGGGTGTCCAGCCCTGCGTGCATCCAGCCGGGGAACAGGCAGCTTCCCTTCCCGCCTTGGCTGAGTGCTGGGAAGACAGCCCTCTGGGTGGCCGTCTCCTGCCGGCCCAGACAGGCGGGGAAGGGAGCATCTCCATGGGGGACCAGAAACCCGGGTGGCAGAACAGGCTCTGTGGGGCTCCAAGTCAGCCCACATCTCAAAGCAACTCCAGAACCACAGACCACAGCCCAGACATGGAAAAGCAGCGTGGGATTCTGAACCCAGCTCAGGTCCCTTGAGATCGGCTGGGAAGGGAGCCACAGTGGCAGGGTAGTGTGGGGCTGGACTGGGGAGGATGGCTCGACCTAGAGGTCAGGCTATGTGTGCCCCGGGAGGTGTCTGTCCTTCACTGCGTTTTAGAACAGTCACCAGAGAGCCATGGTTACAACAAGCCTGCTGCTGAAATGGGTGCTTAGGGAGGTCACCCCAAGCTTCCAGGTGGCCCTTAGGGTTAGTTTACAAAAGCAGGACAGGGGCACAGGACTTCTTGGGCTCCCACAGCCTCCTGGCGGTGCCCAGAGCCCTGAAGGCCCCTGCCCCCACACAGGAGCCCCTTTCTGCTTGGGGTGCATCTGCAGACAGCACATGGCAGCCTGGGGTCTGCCACAGCTTCAGAAGGTAGTTCCCAGGGATTCTGTGGGAGCAGCTGCCAGCGTGGTCCTAAGGATGGGGTGGGAAGGGCATGGCGGGACCCACCTTGTCCCATTCCCTGCTGCCTTGCAGGAGGCTAGAGGGGAGCCAAGCGGGACCTGACTGCTGGGTGGGTGGGCACTCAGTGCCAGCCAGGAGGCCTAGCATTCCCCGCAGGAGCCTATCATGCTGCTGTGCTTGAGTTTCCTGCTGCCTCTTGTTCTAGTTCAAGAAGAAATTCCATGAAGGAAAAAGAAAAAGGCATGAAAGCCCTGCCCTCACCATGGTAAATGCATTCTTGCCGAGTTGGAACATCTCATCCTTCTGTGTGAATGAATGGCTAAGTACAGTGGGCAGCCAGCAGCTGGGGGCTGCAGGAAGCACTGAATGTGGGTCAGTGAATGAATTCTTGGGGGCACTCGGCCTGATGACTGAGATTCCCATGTTCCCCACCCCCCATCAGAGAAACTGGGTTGTCACTGCCTCTGGCTTCCTGCTCATGTGGGCTCTGGGAGGCAGGCGTGATGGCTCGGCTGACCAGGCCCCTGCCTGCCCCCTGGGACACCTGCAAAGAGCTCCTGGCTCCCAAAGTTGTCCCTGACCCAGCCATGTGTGGGGAGTGTACTGGTAAACGGGAGCTCAGTCTGTTCCCTCTGCTTCTCAAATATATAAAATATATAAAATGTATATAAACTTAAAAGTATGGGGGGAGGGACACGGTGGTATAGAGCCAATCCTCTGCCTGTAGTGCTGGCATCTCAGCCGTGCCAGTTCGTGTCCTAGATGTTCCATTTCTTACCCAGCTTCCTGCTTGTGGCCTAGAAAAGCAGCAGAGGATGGCCCAAAGTCTCGGGACCCTGTCCCCATTTGGGAGATCCAGAAGAAGCCCCTGGCTCCCGGCTTCGGATCAGCTTAGCTCCAGCTGTTGTGGCCACTTGGAGAGTGAATCAGTGGACAGAAGGTCTTTCTGTTTTTCCTTCTCTGTGTAAATCTGACTTTCCAATAAAAATGAATAAATCTTTAATAAACCCTGTCATTTACAAGCTTCTCACACGGTGTCCATGAAACTGGCTATCGGGCGGTGTCACCCGTTTATGAAGCACCTACAAGGTGGCAGGTGCTACTGTAGGCACCTTCCACCTTTAGGCTTTGGCTTTCAAGTGAATTCTTTGTCCATTTAAATAGCCGGGGCTGTGCTGGCTGAAGAAGGATGAGCCAGACCCAGTGCCCAGAAGTCCACCCACTAGATGGGACAGCAGGTGCATATCTGCCCAGCAGGGTTCTAGTGAGGAACTCTGTGGTGGAGTGGGAGGAGCCACCCCAGGAAGTGATGGAGTCCCAACAGTGCACACAGGAGATGGATGGGAGACGGAGGCTCACTCGGAGGAGGTGATGGTGGTGCTGGGGACCTGCAGAGGAGGCCCGGCTGGAGCGGGGAGAGAGAGTGCTCCATGGGAGCACCGGCAGAAAAGTGACAGTGCAAGTGGGATCGGCAGGGTCAGGCAACTGAGACTGGAGGAAGAAAGAAAAAATAACTCACACAAAAGGCAGAGTGTGGCCTGACCACCTGGATGGCCTGCAGCCTCCACTGGAGTGTGGGTTTGAGTCCTGGCTCCTCCATTTCCAATCCAGCTTCTTACTAGTGCTCCCATGAGGCAGCAGGGGATGGCTCAGAACCCGAGTGTCTGCCCCCAGTGTGGGAGACCAGAAAGGAGCTCCTGGGTCCTGCCTTCAGCCTGTCCTAGCCCTGGCTGTGGGGAATGAGCCAGCAGATGGAAGATTCTCCTCTCTGTCTCTCTCTATGTTCTTGTACCACTCAGCTAGGTGAATTCAGCTTTTAAAAAGTTCAGTTTCTCACGCCACGTCCAGGCGGCGTTCCCTAAGCAACAACTGGACAGGAAGGTCAGGCGCTGAGGATGATGTCTGGGCTGGAGTTAACTGAGCAACCGCCAGCCCTTGGAGCCAAGGGAAGGAGTGGGAGGTGATGAGATCACGGGGAGAAGGCCCAGGAGACCTCCCCAACTTGTCATGGGCAGTCTCAGCCCCAGCCTGACCCACATTCACAGCATGATTTGGCCGGGGGGGGGGTGGGATGGGGGTGGGGGCCTTCCCAGGCTGGCCAGTGAGAGCTTTTGGCCCTGATCGGAGGGTTCTGTATTGCCCCCAGCCAGGGAAAGAGAGCGAGCGAGAGAGAGCAGAACTCACTTGTCAGGAATAGCCGCCACATAAGTGAAGAGCTGCCAGGGGATGAACTGCAGCACGGAGCTGCGGAAATTCACGTGGCTCGCCACGTGCCCGCGGCTGCCATCAATCACAACCACCTGGAGGCCATCCTCAGCACTGGGGAACTTCCTGCCGTCCACCTGCAGGGCAGCGAAGCAATACAGGTGTGTCTGTGTGGAGGGGTGTCCTGAAGGCAGAGCCCCAAGCAAAACACCCACTGAGTCCCATAGCCTTCTGCAGTGGACTGAATCACGCCCCCGCTCTCCCCGCCCCCCCATTAGATGTATCCATAGATGCAAAATGTGGACCCACGGGAGATGCAGCCACGTGGAGACAGAGCCAAGGGTGACGAGAGTGCATGCCAAAGCCACCAGCAGCAAGCAGAGGTGTGGGCAGACCCTGCGGGAACCGTTCAGTCTCTGGGTTCCATGAGTGTGTGCTGCCCAGCTGTGCTGTTAGAGGCCAGCAACCGGCAGCGGCTTTGCCGGGAGCAGCCTGAGGAAGCCCAGGACCCCCGATCCCAACGCACGTACCTCGATGTACGCAAAGTCGGTGCGAAGGTGGAAGAAGTGCTGCCTGGAACTTTCCATCTTCACCTCCAAAAAGTGGTCCTTGGTTTTCTGCAAAGTGAACACAGCCCAGCAAGTAGCAACCCCTTGGCTCCCCCATGCTCCCCAGTCAGCTGTGTGGGGAGCACTGTGTGTGGGGAGCACTGTGTATGGAGAACCACTGTGTTGGGTGCTGTGTGTGTGGGGAACCACTGTGTGGGGAGCTGTGTGTGAGGACCACTGTGTGGGGTGCTTTGTGTGTGGGGAACCACTTTGTGGGGCGCTGTGAGTAGGGCGGACTGCTGTGTGGGGCGCTGTGTGTGGGAGAGCCACTGTGGGGGGTGCTATGTATTGGGGGCACTGCTGCTTGGGGTGCTGTGTGGGGAACCACTACGAGGAGCGCTGTGAATGCTTGTGGAGGAGCCTGAGGGGATCCAGGCGCAGGGCCCGTGTCGGGCACTCACCAGCTGGGAACTGAAGAGTTTCCTGGGCATGGGCACGTCCACCACGGCCCTCTCAGCGAACCTGGGGTAGGCACCGGCCGTGCAGTCGCTGACGCCTGCGTTCCTGGGTATCAGAGCTTTGATCCTGATCCTCTCACAGCCTTTCACGGAGCAGAAGGCAAACTTCTCCCTCTCGTTCTGAGCTCTCAGCTTCAGGAACAGCAGCCTGCACGCAAAGGAGGCGTGTGTCTGGGGTGCCCAGGCCCTCCCGCCCTCCCTTCTGACTGTAAGCCTCGGAACAGCAGGGGTGTTGTGCCTTACCAGAAAGACAGAGAAATCAGCAAAAAGCAAAGGCACCCATGATGGTAAAGTTAACGACCATGACAGGCATCACAGCCTGGGCACACGACGTCAGTCACGCTGCACACACTGCCAAGTCAACACATGCTCGCTCCCCAAACCATCCTGCCCAGGAGTCCCTGTTCTCATCCTTGGCTCCCTGTGGTCAGAGAAGTGGAGCGGCTCTCCCGGCTGGGAACGGTGGAGTGGGGCTTTTGCCCTCAGCATCACTCCTACTGAGCAGACAGCATCACCTCCTTGACCTGACTTTTCTTCCCGTCTCAACTCACACCAGACACGATTGACCACTGGTGCAGAAGCGACCACTGTCATGGTGAAAGCACTTGACTCAGGGCTCCCGGGAGTCAGGAGCACATCCTATTGCATGAGACCAGGATTGCATCCCCAGCTCGATTACAGGCGTGTGGGAGATGGAGGGGGACCCAACAGACAGGATCTCCTCTCTCCATCTCATTTTCACTGTGTTTTTCAAATGTATCAATTAATTCATTGGAAAAAAAAAAGGAAAGAAAAATGCACATCTTTGGAAGAACCTATCTCCCACGATGCTAAAAGAGGAAAAATATGCACGAATGGTAACACAAGGTCTTTGCCTTATTAATACTGTTTTAAAAATATATATATACGGGTCCAGCACAGTAGCGTAGTGGCTAAGTCCTCACCCTGCATGTGCCAGGATCCCATACGGGCTCCGGTTCATGTCTCAGCTGCTCCACTTCCCATCCAGCTCCCTGCTTGTGGCCTGGGAAAGCAGTCGAGGACGGCCCAAAGCCTTGGGACCCTGCATCCCTGTGGGAGCCCTGGAAGAAGCTCCTGGCTCCTGGCTTAAGATCGTCTCAGCTCTGGCCACTGCAGCCACTTGGGGAGTAAACCAGTGGACGCAAGATTTTTCTGTCTCTCCTCTCTGAAAATATGACTTTCCAATAAAAATAAATAAATCTCTTAAAAAAATGATTCACTAATTTGAATGAAAGTGTTGAGAGAGTCAGTCTTCCATACAGTAGTTCACTCCCCAGATGTCAAGTACGATCTGGCACTGCGTATTCAGAGTGGAACTTTGCCCAGGAGCACCTCGGGGTTCAGTCCTCCTTAGAGAGGCTCTCCTGCCCCCTGCAGGCCTTCCTCGCTCATCGACACAGTGTCAGCTCTTCCAGCTGGACAGTCGCAAAGCAGAGACACAGGACAGAACTTTCTGGCCCCTAAGAGCGTTTGGTGGCAATTTGGTGCAATAGGTACATTCCTCACGAATTGCATGCCTGTATAGTAGAGTCTTTGTTTTATTCCCCAAAGCTGAATAACTTTCAACTCCGAGTCTAGGGCAGAGGGTTAAGCTGCCGCCTGGGACGCCTACACCCTGTACTAGATGTGCCGGTTCGAGTCCTGGGTATTCCACACTTCCAAATCCAGCTCTCTGCTAATGCGCCTTGCAGGCAGCCAATGATGGCCCAAGTATTCAGGTCCCTGTCACCTACACGGGAGACCCAGGTCTTGGCTCCTAGCTTTGGCCTGGCTGATGCAGGAATGAAGGGAGTGAATCTGTGGATGGGAAGATTCTCTCTCTTTCTCTCTCTCTCTCTCTGCCCTCTCCGTGTCCAATGACAAATACATCTTCCATATCATTTGTGCCTCGTATAATCAGCCTTAGCATCAAAAGCACCCAGAGGAGTCTACGCCATGTGGTTTGTGGGTCATGGGAAAGGGTGACACGGGGACAAGGGGAGACCAGGTCACTCTCCCAAAGCCACGAAGGAGCCCCCTCACCCTGAGTTCTCGTCCCAGAAGTAATGGCCCCGGCCGGGATAGCTCCGCTCCACTTTTTCCATCTGCAAGGTCCTGGCAAAGGTGCCTGTCTTGGTGGTCTGCTTCAGCAGGCGATTGTGCACGTCGGAGAGGATGGAGAAGGTAGTGCCCCGTGGGTAGCAGAGTCCCACTCGAATCCAGTCGCCCCTAGGACCAGAAGTAGAATCAGGCAAGGACATCCAGGCCCCGAGGGCCTCGAGAAACCAAGCATTTTCTGCCAAACAACACCTCCGGTTCCAGGTGGGGAGTTTTGAAAGGTTGTTTGGCTGTCAGTCAGGAGCCACTTGCAAGTTGTTCCAGGAGAGAAGGAGAGCCCCTGATCACAGCGTTTCAGAAAGGGAGGGCTGTGCACGTCCCGCGACTCCCACTGGGGGTGCTGTGGAGGCAACCTAGGCTGGAGCCAGACGGCCCTTTTTGTGGGCAGGGCCAAAGCAGACAGCATCTTAGTGCACCATGGCCCTCCTGAATGTGGGGCCCGAGGCAACTCTTCAGGGATCATTTCCCGCCACTGAGAAGTGTCTGTCTCAAGAGATTTCTGGTTCACGTGCATAATACCTCCAGGGATGCCAACCTGGAAAGCCCTGTGCTGAAAACTTGGCCTCCACAGAGCCTCATCCACCTCCTGGCAAAGTGGGAACAAGAACCTGCAGAAAGGCCACTGCGAGGCCAGTGCCTGACACACTTGTCTCGGCCCTCCACCGACTGTTAGACAGCAGGTGCCCCATCTTGTGGGGGAGGGGGCTGAGTCAGAGGAGCCCTGGGGATGCTTGCACCCTTGCCCTGATGCTTCCAGCACAGACCCTAGGGTCTGGCCTGAGTTTGTACGCAGAACAAAAATACAAAAATCCCGGAGACCCTGTAAGAAGGCACTGACCTCAGCACTGTGCTTGCACACACACTCACTTGTTGAAGTTGATGAGCCAGATGGTGAGCTCCGCAGGGGCTGTCTGGTTCCAGTGGATTGTGTAGCTTTTATACAGCGTGACGACCGGCTGGTACTGCTGGTAGTGGGTGCTCCGGGTCAGGGCCCCCTCCAGGAAGAGAGGGTGGCCTGGGAAGTCGTTCTTGATGATCTTCATCCGCAGGTTACTGGTCTTGTAGGCCTGGATGTACATCTGTCACGATCCAAAAAAGAGACACACAATAAAGCTGCAGCCATGGGTGGCTCCAAGAGTGTCTGGTTAGCAACTGTCCCCGGACCACACACTCACGGGTGCTTGCTCTCTGCAGAGCCCTTTTCATAGGAGGCAGGGATGGAAGACAGGCCAAATAAGGGCACGTGGCCCCAGCCATTTCCCAGGCAATCCAGTAAGTGTGCCAGATGCTATGCATCTCCAAAGAAGCACAGCAGTGACAGGCTACGAGTGGACACAGCCATCAGAGGGCAACTGTTTTGAAGAAAGAGGAGGGTGTAGGAGGCAGAGGGGTGGAGAGGGAGGCAGAGAGGTAAAGAGGTAGGGAGAGGGAAGAAGAGCTATAGAATTCTACTACAGATGCCACGAGCAGCAGCAGGTGCATGGCCTTCATGGAGGAGTGTGCCTGGGAGTGCTGCCTCACTTTCTGGAGGTGCTGCCTCACTTTCCCTTTTGGTTCCCATTGTGGGCCCCCACAGCCCAACCTGGTGGGTTGTTGATACACACACTACACTGAACTGTGTCCCACTGCCAGGAAAAGGCTCAGAGCAAGTCAGTGAAGCTGTGAAAACACTGTCCCCTGGGATGACACATTCTGTATTCCTAGGGGGAGCTTCTCTGTAGCTATGGCAACAGGGACCCTTTTGTAGGTGGGCAGTGACGCTGTGCCTTTAGAAGGAGGAGTCCGCAGGCTACAGAGAGAAGCTTCCCATCGTATGGACCTGGGATAAGGACTGAAGAAGTGAAAAATATCAAAGAGCAACTGATTGTGGCATAGTGAGGTAAACCATGGCCTGTGGCACCAGCATCTTAACATGAGTGTGGGTTCAAGTCACGGCTGCTCTGCTTCCAAGTCACTTCCTTGCTAATGTGTCTGGGATGGCAGGGGAAGATGGCCTGCATTCTTGGATCCCTGCACCCACGCGGGAGGCCCTGATGAAGCTCCAGCTTCCTGGCTTTGACCTGGTACAGCCCCACACGTTGTGGCCATTTGAGGGGTGAACCAATGATTGGAAGATATCTGTCTCTGTCTTTCCGTAACTCTGTCTTTCTAATAAATGAAGTCTTACTTAAGGAAGTGGAGAGAGGGGGCTGTTAATAATGACTACCCAGGAGCCAGCCCAGAGGACCTAGCCAGCTCAGACCCCAGCCATGTTCTACCAAAGCCAAGTGGGAAGGAAGAGGATGGCCAGGAGCATCGAGGCTCCTGGAGGGCAGTGTGTGTCCTTTCTAAGTGCTGCTGAGGACACACACACAAGGCTCCGAGCTCTGGGCTTCCTGTTACCCTGGGCCTACCTCCACTCCCTTACGCCCACACAGCAGCCACTTACCCTAGTATTGTCTGCGCCATTGCTCTGCCCACATACTTGGCAGAACTCATGCTCCAGGGTCCTCCTTCTGGGGCTCTGGAGCAGCACTGAGAAAATACATGCTCCCCCCCTACCCGCACAGCCAGCCACTCTTGTCTACACTTCTCCTGTCACTCCTTCTTGCTGCTCTCTGCTGGCTCCCTCCTGGGGTCCACTCCCCCAAACCACAGCCTGTGACCTCCCTTTCCACTACCTCCCCTTCCTGCTGTCCCTGCAGGCTCTGGCCCCTGAAGCTCCCTCCCCTCCTCTCTTCCTCTCCCAAACCCCGATACACCATTCAACTGTTCGCTAGCACTGCCATTCCAACTGCCATCATCCAAGATGATGATGATGATGATGATGATGATGATGATGCCTGTCTCATGTGATGGCTTGAGGACAATTTCTCCTACACACACGTCCCTCCTCTTCTGGGACGGTGTTGCCCTCCTAATTTGGTGATTCTTCCTGGTCTCAGAGAGGGCTGTCTCCTCTTACTCATTTATTCACCAGCTAGTCATCCAAATAGCAGCTCTGACAGTAAGACCACAGTGGCTCTAGGACATTTGTAGTTCTGCCTCACTCCAGGCTCCACCGACACTCATTCTGTCCAGCCCAGGAAGCTGCTGCCCATCTTTGTCCATAAAGCAATGGAATTGTGGCGAGTGCAGCTCAGGGCTTGAATTGTAAACATGTTTATTGATTCAATTGACAGAGAGAGAGGGCTCCCATCTGCTGGTTCCTTCCCCTAAATGCCTGCAATGGCTCAGGCTAAGTCGGGACAAACCCTGAAGCCAGAAACTCCATCAGGGTCTCTCATGTGGCTGGCAGGGACTCGACTGGAGCCACCTCCTGCCGCTTCCCACTGTGTGCACTGGCAGGAAGCCGTGGTTAGAAGCAGAGTCAGGATTCCCACCCAGGCACTTTGATGCGAGATGTGCGGCCCCAAGCTGCTGCTTAGCCGCTGTGCTGGACACTCTCCCTGCAGAAGGTTCTGCTTTGTAGGAATTCTACTTTCCAGGAGTTTCAACCTTGACTTCATGAAAATGTTATTGAACAAAGAACAAAGACAAATGAAATAAAGAGGGAAAGAAAGAACTGTGTGTCTCCTTCTGTCCTGCTGCAGAGCACAGCGTACAACAGGCACCTGCTGAATGCCTGACTCATGCATGATGGAGTGCACAGCACCCCCACATGTGCATAGTGCCCCATCTGTGCACAGCATCCCCACCTGTGCGTAGCGCCCACTGCAGATGGCTCCTCTCCAGTCAGGGACGTCGATGCAGTCCGGGTGCCGGACCAGCCAGTTGTCGGCCTTGGTGAGGTATGAGCCAGGATACTCGGACACCGAGCCGTCTACATCATGGAACACAGATGTCTTATCCCCATCCATGTTCAGCTGGTTGAACCAGGGTCCTGGCTCTCCAAAGAACACTCTGGAAGTAATCTGCACAGAACCCAAGAATGGTAGGCTGGGTCAGCAGGGCAAGAGCAAATGCAGCCATTAGCTTGCCATCAGTGGTGGACCCTGGGGCAAGGTTTCCAGTTGTGTGTGTGTGTGCATGAGAAAGACGTGTCTGTATGAGGAAGTGAATCCACACACATGTGTGTATGTGTGTGTGTGTGTCTCAGGAAGCCAGTCTGATAGTATGAGCAGATTTCTCTGGCTGACCTTTCCAGGCCCTCCATGGCCTGAGTCAAAGACTGTCACTTCCTTCTCTTGGGAGCTGGGCAGACAGGTATGAGGCAAGAGCCAGAGAATTGGCTGTCCACGGCCAGGAGGCCGCTGTTTCCATTTTCCTCTTGTGAAGGGACTACAGGGGATATCAACACAGCACACACTGGCCTTGGAAACTTCTGGGCTTGCTGGATTCTTTGTGCCAACTCAGGTATGGCCCGGTCAAGATCAAGGTCCTGAGGAATGAACTTAGCACCTTGAATGGAATGCCAGGCCTGACCTTGACCTAGGTTCCAACCCTGCATCTCCACTCATGCTGGACGAGGGCACACAGGCCTCTGTCCAGCGCTGGCCTGCAGTGTGGGGCTGCCTTGGCTTTCTCTGCTTGTACTTTTCCAGTGTGCATGCGGTGTGAACTGGGACACGGCCTGCCTACCTGGGCAGAGCAGAAGAGCCTTCTCAGCCTCTGAGAAGCCATACCTGAGTTGGCACAAAGAATCCAGTTCCCTTGGCTCTCCTGGGGAATGGGGGAATCACCATGCCAAGCCTGGATCTGCCAGTCCCGGGGACTTCACTCACCGGGACATCCTCAAAGGTGATGCCGGTCACGTTGTTGTGGGGACAGCTCTGCCAGGCATTGTTGAGGCGGAAGGCCAGGGCACTGGTGTGCCGGCCCTCTAGGGCCGCGAACTTTCGGAAAGTACAGTTCTGGATGTTGATGGGGCCGTCGTAGAACTGGATCCCTCGGATGGGGAAGTTTCTGTGGTGTGAACCGAGACAGAACAGGCAGTCTGAACACTACGGCTGCTTCTTCCTAGGTGAGCAGGTATCCTGACTTCCTATTCACCACCCCGGAAACCCTCGCCATCCAGGACCATTGAGTGTTTTCATTCACCAAGAAGGCGAGTGCAGACCCAGGACATGGAAGGAATGGGAATGATGGGTGGTAGATGAATAAATAACTGCCTCGTCATTTGTCTTGGGGCTTGGGAGGTGCTCCTCTGTATTAATAGTCCCCCTAACTTTCCCATCTTGTGAAGAGTCACTGGGCAAATCTGGTGGATCCAGTGCTGTGTCATGGGGGAGGCGAGTGCCGTGAGCTATAATCACTTTGGGATCAGTTGCTTTAACAGCACTTTGAGCTGGTTGAGAATCCGATGCACTTGGCGTTTGGCTTTGAACAATTGACAGGGTCTGGGGAGACACCATTGCCATACGACTTTCAGAAGAGCCTGGGGACCTCACCCACAGCTGAAAGAGGGTAAGGGGTGGAAGTGCAGGTGGGACATTGGACGAGAATTTGCAAGTACTGCCATTTGTCTTGGATTTCTGAGCAGGCCATGGGAAATGAAGGCCTGGGAGCTGCTGACTGGGCTTGCTGGAGGGGCCTTCTCTTGGCCTTGGCCCCAGTGTGTAGGTTCACTTCTATCGGCCATGTCCAAACTTGTCCCTTAGATGGGCATCTCTGCCTCTGAGTCAGGCCACTCCCTTCCACGGGGAACACAAGGAAAACAGGGCAGCCAAGGGGAGAACCAAGAGAAGGGATCTGTCCCATTTCCAGCCTGGGCTTGCCTTGGTTCCAACATGGTTCCATCCTGGTCTTTGCCCTCACTGATATCAGCACCAGATCTCCAGGGGTGGCTCAATGTGGCCTTCTATGTTAGGTCTTTCTGGGGACAGCCTTCTGCTGCACCCCTACTCCTCACCATGCTACACAGAAGCTAGGGCCAAGGAGGCAAGTTCCCGACTGTACAAAATCTTTCTGAAGATGCATGGTCACACAAGGCTGCAAGGTGCAGATGTGTGTCTATCTGGTTCCAGTTCTGGCTCCAGCTTCCTTCTAAGGCAGATTCTGGGAGCCAATGGTGACGACGGCTCAAGTAACTGGGTCCGTGCCATCCATGTTGGACACTCAACTTGAATTTCGGCTTCCTGGTTTCGTTTTAGCCCAGCCTGGCTCGTGGAAGCTCTCTCGTGTGTTTTTTGTTTCTCAAATAAACTAACAACAGAAATCGCTCCTTTGCCTCTGTCCTTCCCCCTCTGCCACTTAGGGTGAGCCACGCAGAGCAAGGAAGCAATCATGGTTGCAAACCTACTGGCCTATGGGGAGAGTCCTTCCGCTGTGGTCCAAGCCGCCTGGGCCCCAGATCCGGTTGTCCATCATCTCTGTGCCTACGTTGCCACTCTCGCCAACAAACAGACTATTCTTTATCTCCTGCTTGGAGCCGTCATCATAAGGGAAGGTCCCGCCACTGTAGAGAGAAGATGTTTGGTGATGAGAGGTGGTTCAGAGACAAGTTTCTGCAGAGGTGACTCCCAATAGTAGGTGCTCTTACCTGGCCAAGGTCAGGCCAATGCCATTGTCAGCGAACCTGTGGACAAGAGCTGAGCATCAGTGCATTCACTCGCTGCACCCTGAGGTCACAGTGGGAGTTACAGTGCTCCCTGCCTTTGAGGGGTAGGGGCAGGGAAGCGCAAAGGAGGCATGGGCACTGTCCTTGCCCATTCCGCATGGCCAGGGCTCTCCAAGTGCCTTCCCACCCAGTTTCTGGTTTCCTTGAGGCTCCTGGTATGGACAACACACTGTATTCATAGCTCACAGGTTGAGTGAGCTGCCTGCCTCCTCTCCAGCTCCCACCACCTGAGACTCCAGGGCTCAACAGGAGGTTTCATTGGAAGGACATGTAAGGCCCTTGCCAGAGCCAGTGCTGATTGTGGCTGGATGTGTGTCTTGCCAGTCCCATCACATCCGCTGTAGGCTCAGGCGATGCATGCACAGACATCCACCGTGGGCTCAGGGACACAGGCACAGTTCATTTCCAAGGCTGCCAGCAATTCATTGGCTGGCTCGAAGGAAGGCAGGAGGTCACCTCCCGATCGCACTTAGGCATTCTCATCCACTCCCATACCCTCTGCTCTTTGTCAGGGTCAGGAATAGAAGCTCAGCTGGGCCTTGGGCTAGCTGCCCCCCTGTGTCCCCTGGGGTGCCAAAGCAGGCCCTTGCTCCTCCCATCTGCCCTGCACTCCTTCCCAGGCTCACTTCCTAAGGATGCAGTTCTCTATAGTCTTTTCATGAAGCTCCAGTGGTCTCACCACTCCCACAAGCCCAAGTTCATGTCTTGCCTCTGCATTCTTGTCATGGATAAATACACAACTCACTGGGCTTCAGCTACTTGGGCCCAGCCCTGTCTGGCTGGCTACTCCCTAGATCCCAGTTCTCTTACCCGTAACTTTTGTTCAGGGCATGAACACTTTCCCTTTTTCTGAAGCCCATCTCCCAGGGTTGCGTGCCGTCTAGTTCTTTCTAGAATCTTCCAGACTCTTGTCTGCAGACCCCTCCTGGGCCTCTCCTCTTTGTTGCTATTCCCCTGTGCTCTGGCCAGGTGCCCCTCATGCCTCTACCACGTGGCCAGGAATCTCAAGGAAACTCACAGTTTCTGCCTCATCCACCTGCTAGTGATTCTAACATCAGTCATTCTTCCTGTCTGCTCTTGCACAATGTAGGGCATTTCCATTGAGGGTCTCCCCAACATCTCAAACTAGGAACAATTAAGATGACATGGCTCCCCTCCCTCTAAATCCATGGAGAACTAGGAAAACTCCGGCCTGCCACACTCCCCTTCTTCTCTGCAAATCTCACTCCTGGGGACCATGGCGGTACCGGAACTGGGTAGAGAAGGCAGTCAAGGACCTGCCATTGCTGCCATCTCGTGTTACCCTCCTCCTGGGTGCGGTCCCTTGCAAGGCAGTGGGCTCTGCTCCAGGGAGCGCAATCTGCGGTACATCCCAGGGAAGTGAGGCCGCAGGACATGGCTGGGCCCATTCCTGAGCTGCAGCCCGCTATACCCGCTGTGCCTGTACCACTGCCCTCAGGAGCCGGTTCCCACTAGCCGGCTCTCTTCCTTCCTTCCAAATCCAGAACTTCTACCCTCCCACCCCATCACTCCTCCTCTCTAACCAGGGACCCCTCTCCCCTGTGCAAAGGGTATACAATGGCTGACCAAGCATGTGACCCTGAGACAGCCATGCCCATTGACCATCTAGAGGACACTCATGCCCCCATAGCACTGGGGGTGGAAGCTGTTCTGGGGTTTGGTTTGAGAGAGGAAGGGTCATTGCCTGGCACCATTCTCTGCCCCAGCCTGGACAGAGGCCAACACGCCTTCTTTCTCCCCTACCAGAGCTAGGTGCACACAGCCCTCCCCTCAGTGTCACCGTCACAGGCAGCCCCCGACTGACCGGCAGCTGTCCAGCCACACATCCCCGCCGCGCAGCCAGGCCCCGTGGTCCTGGTTCTTGTAGGCGGTGAAGTGCCTGATGATGGCCGGCTCCCGGGGCTTCAGCGGGTCAGCGTCCTGGTGAGGGCTGTATCTGTAACACAATGGAGGGCAGGTACAGTGGGCAGTGTTGGGGGGACCCTTCAGGATCCTCTAAGTGCCTCTATGACTCATGGCACCCGAAGGCACCCATTAACCTCACAGGGCCCCGAAAGGGGCTTTTCTGGCACATTACAGAATTGAGAGCTCAGCTCTCTGGGGCCTGGCCATAGGCAAACCAGATACAGCAGCACCAGGGACACCACCCTCCAATGAAGCATGCCAGGTGGCTGTGACCAGGAGCCTGCAGACAGACCTGAAACCCATACCTGCACACACCCTTCCTGAGCCCCTCTGGATCCCACAAAAGGTTGGGTAGCCAGATGTTCTCCAACCCTTGGTCCACTCACAGAGCATTTTCTTGCTACTTATGTCACCCACTTTTTTCTTTAATGATTTTCAAAAATTCTTATTAATATCAAGAGAACAGATTTCATGTACCTCACAGGTACTCCCATTCGCCCCTCCTACGATTCCTCTCCTTTCTTCCTGTCTTCCTTCCTTCTGCTTTTAAGTTTTGCAAAGACAAACGTCTTACAAACTTTCCACCCACTGTATAATCCCAGGCTTCAGGCACCACTACCCACAGCAGAGAGGAAGAAGGCCACTGTTGCACAGGAATATAAGCAAAGGCTAAAGACGACAATCAGGTCACAAGATATGATATAACTGCTGCGCATCAGGAAACATACATGCTATTTGTCTTTTAGGGCTTGGTTTATTTCACTAAGTGTGGTGGTCTTTAGCTGGTATCACGTCTGATGAGGCTGGGCAACTAGTCTCTTTGAAGTCTGCTGTAGGCTTGGCCTGTTAGACTCAGTCTCGGGCTTATTGACACATACCAGCTGCATGCCACAGCTCCCTAGACCAAAGGTGAAGTTCATCTCTCCTTGCCTAGTCTCCCCTTTATGCTGGGTGCACCTGCTAGCCATTCCTGTCGACTGATCAGGTATTAGCTTTGCCAAGGGATCTGGAAACCTCTAGCAGGTTCGTTACCTGGAGTCTGAGTCCTAACTCAGATATTTCCTTGCTTAGATTTTTACCAGGGTTTCTCTAGAAACCCACCCAACAGTGTCTGGCACTTAGAAAGAGGTCAATGGCTTTTTCAGGGAATGGAAGGGGAAATGAGAGAGAGGAAGGGGTGAGGCCCAGGAGTCATGGCTGGAGGCAGGAGTGCATCTACCTGAGGGCTAATTACCTGGCCGAGATGATGGAGAGGAAGGGCCTCTTGTCCTTGGCGGAGGCCTCGGTGGTTTTAACCCCATTGTCTATGATCATGCCGGCCTGGAGACGGAGAGGAGACGCTGACTTCTGGACAAGGCTTCCCACACCCAGCCCCTCTGCAGAAATGGGCCAACATGGAATATTGCTCATGATGGCTATGGGGAAAAGACCCTTAGACTAGGGCTGGCACACTAAGGGTGTTGAGCTGAGGCTTAATGGGCAGCGCCACCAAAGAAAGGGCCTGCTCCCCAGCTCCGAGTGTCCCTCAAGCCAACGGGAACTTCCTCTTTGTTCCTGTCCCATCCTCAGAGGTGGCTAAGGCTGCCCCTCCACCTGTTTTCCAAAGTCCTTAACCATGTCCTCCACCAACTTTCTTTCCCTCTCTGCCTCCTCCAGACCTCACAGGTCTGAGGCCCACCTCCCCTGCTCCTGGGAAGGCTTCTCAGTCGAGTTATCTATCACCTGCAGCCATGCACCTGCCTCCCCAGGTGACTTCTCTTCAAGGTCCTCTGTTGACATTTTTGGGTCAAGATCAGGCTATTCCTTGCTTACCCCTGCCTTCTGCCCCACGAAGCCATCTAGGTTCTTAGTTTCTCAGTGTCTACACTGTCCAGGTTCTCTCTCTTTTCTTTTCTTCTTAGGATTTATTTATTTTTATTGGAAAGGCAGATTTACAGAAAGAGAGACAGAAAGATCTTCCATCTGCTGGTTAACTCCCCAAACGGCTACAAGCATCAGACCTAAGCCAGGAGCCCAGCACTCCATTCAGGTCTACCACATGCTTGGGCCATCCTCCGCAGTACCTACAGAACCTGGCACGGAGCTGAGTGGGCACACAGTGGGCGCTCAGGACATGTTAATGAGGGAACTGTGGTGACTGGGACACTTCTGCTCTCCTTCCTACCGGTGTAGCTCTTAGATGGAGCAGCCGTTTCCCCCAAGAAACACAATGAGAGGAAAGAAGCAGGGCCGAAGTCCATCTGTCTCCTTCAGAAAGTGCATCCCAGGCTTGCTGAACTCTCCACTCAGCCCTAACCTCTCTTAGCTGATGGCACACCACCCCCACCAGGTCAAGGGCAAGGGCAAGCTCAGGTGCTCAGCTCTATGCTCCATCTGATACTCAGTCAGTGCCAGCCCAGGAGCTGCTTCCAGGGACATTTCCTGACCTGGGAAGGCCTGACAATGGCTTCTCTGATTGCTTTGAGACCAATGTGAGGGAAAGGATGCAAGGTGGCTAGTCTGGGGAGGCTCACCCGGTAGTTGGAATGTGCCCGGTTGTTGTAGAATTTTCCCAGCGGGATATGCTCGGAGTAACCCGGGGAGTACATTCCCACTGAGGGACCTGTCGGAACGTGGTGAAAAATAAACCAGAATCCTGTCTCCTGTGAAGAGAAGGCAGGTACAGGGGGAGGGGGCGTGAGTTCAGGTCCAGTGAGCTCTGTGGCAGAGTAACCTAGGAGCCCATGAAGCCCTCACCACCTACAACCACCACATCCACATCCACACGACCCAGCTCTCGAAGAAAAGCAACACAAACTTTGAGGGAGGGGTAACTGATGGGTCCACTGTGACAGCCCATCCTAACGGGCCATGGTGGGTTCCCGAATATGGCTTGCTTGTACAGAGTTCTGTGGCTCCTCTTTCAACACATCTAAGAGGATCGTGCAAAGCTTTTCCCTTTCATTCTCTCGGACCTTGTGATGTAGGTACTGGCAGGGTAGGGGTAGGGCTGTGTCAAAGGAGTGGGGTGCTGCTGCTCTACCTGCCATCTCCCAGTTCCGTATGCCCCTTGGGGTCTTGCTGCTCTCCTCCGCTACCCCACACCACCCTCAATCCTGTCCTGGCTTCCTCCCCTGCCAGTACCTACATCACAAGGTGGATCCAATGATGTGCCATCATTGTGCCAGCTTACAATGTTGATTTGCCAGGGACCATCCAGTGTTAAAACATTTTCAGGGAATAATGAGTTCCACACAACAAACACCTGGTCCTCATGCACTCAGGTCATCACTCTTAGGATATAACCTGAGTGTGTGTACATGTGTGTGTTCCCTCCTCACTCCAGCCGAGGCCAGACCACAGCAATTTCAAGGGTGGTCTCAACTGGCTTCTCCAGCCCTAGACCCCACCCCACTTTCTGCTCACCTCTGAACCTGCAGCAGCACAGTTTATGAGGTTGTTGTTGGGATTGGCCATCCAGAAGGTGGACACCGCACTGCAGGAGAGGACAAGGGGGGAGCATCATGTCTGGAGCCACTGGCACTCGTTACACCACATAGCTGACCAGTTTTTGACACACTGGTGTGAGAGGTGTGAGACACTAGTGTTGTACCCGTCTGAAACCCACTTTGATTATCGAACACAGGCAAAATTCAGAAATCCAAAGGGGCGGAGGGAACTAGCTTTGTGTTGCCGTGGGCTAAGCCACTGCCTGTGACACAAAGCACCTGCTCAAGTCCTGGCTGCCCCACTTCTGATCCAGTGCCTTGCTAATGTGCCTGGCAGTAGAGACTAGCCCAAGCATGTGGGAGACCTGGATAGAGTTCCAGGCTCCTGGCTTCAGTCTGGCCCAGGCCTGATGGTTGTGGCCATTTGGGGAGTGAAATAGCAGGTGATCTCTCTTGGAAAGGACATGGCTCTTTAGGGTAGAATCAAGGTATGGGGTCAGATCTGAGGCTGTCTCTCAAGAAAACAAAAGCTGATTGAGTGCAGAAAACTGTCCATTTCTAAGAAGCAGACTGCAAAGATGAACAAATTGGAGACGCCCCATTTTCCACCATGATGGAATCCCGTGTGACCTGAGGGAGAGCCCCAGCCCCACAGATGAGAAGGGGGCTTGGCCAGCACAGAACAAACCCCCCAATGCAGACAGAGAAGGGAGAAGGCATCCTCCGTCCTCTCTCTGGGAAGCCAGGAGCACAGGTGGTCCTAGTGTGAGAGACTGCACCTGCTCACAGGTGTCTGCCCCGATCTGGGCACAGGAGCCAGGTGTCCTGGGCAGTGCAGGGGCACAGAGCTGGGGCATCACTTACTTGCAGTCCTGCCGGGGCTTGGGGATGTAGCCTGGGTAGGAATCCTCTGTGATCATCTTGCACATTTTGCTGTCCCGGTCTGAAGGGAGGAGGGTGCCCGACTTCACCAGGAGGCCGAGGCAGTGGTCGAAGGTGTTACGTTCCTCAGGCCCATCTTCTGTGAAGAAGCAGTGGCCCAAGGAGTGATAGCCCACCACGTCCTTCACCTGTTGGGGTCAACATGGGAATATGTCACCGAGCAGTCAGCGACCCATGTGCTCATGCATCCAGTCAACAAATGCTAGACGATCTTAGCTTGCACACCAACCCCTGAGGAGCACTGGGACGTGGAGCTAAAGCTGACACAAGCATTGGATCTGGGGAGGGAGGAGCAGGGAGGTAGAATAGTAATTTTTTAAGCCTCTTCCAGCTGGAGGAATGGTGTGTTTAGGCACCATGGGTTAGGAAAGGAGACAAAATGTCCCACATGAGAACGGTGGGTCAGAGAGGAGACCATGGCTAAGGGCTCCCTGAGTCAAGTCTGCTGAGGTCACAGCTTACTCGGGTGGGGTTGTCCCACAGAGGAGATGCGGTGAGGTAAGGGAAGTGGGGCTGATTGTGTCTGAGACAGCGTCTCAGCTGGCCCAGGTGGCGAGCATTGATGCTCCCCACTGGCCGATTTTTAGCCCAGGGTGCAGATCAAGCCACTTTTGCAATCCCTAGGGGGCGAGTCCGAAAGGTTGTAGACTCCAGCTCTTCTGCTTCCCTCCTGCAACCACAGATGCAGCAAAGGAAGCAGCCAGAGCAGACAGTGAGAGACAGAGATGTGGCCTGAGCCGTACATCCAGCCAGCATGGCACCCAAGTCCTGGACTCAATCACTTCCCCCACCACAGAGGGATGCCCTTGAACTCTGGAACCCCTCTGCAGCTGCATTCCTGAGCTTTGTCAACCTTAGGACCCAAGGTCCTCAGAGGGTCCCAGGCCTGAGACCTAGGACTTAGCTTCCACTCACTCCTTCTACCTGGCAAGGTGGCCTACTCCAGCCAGTGGCACTGCTGACAGCTCGCTTGTCTTGACTGAAATCTTGTATTTCCAGTCCCACTCATGGGTGCCAACCACCATCTGACTTGAGAGGATCCCTGTCTCCCTGTGCCAACCCACAGCCATTAACTATCACCATGGCTGACTCTGGGAAACAACTCTACACCTCAACCCCAGCACTGCTAAGCTGGGGGCCATGCGGTGCCACAGACTACAGGATGGTAACGGCATCCACAGCCTCTACTCATTGAATGCCAGGGACACCCTTCAGTGGTAACAACTAAAATGCAGCCAGACACCCATCGCCCAAAATTCCAGAGAGAGAGGTAGAGAGAGAGAGAAAGAGAGATTGTGTGTGTGTGTGTGTGTGTGTGTGTGTGTATGTGTGTGCACATGCAGGTGCCTGGGGAGACAGGAGGTTACAAAACCAAATCATCCCTGACTGAGAAGTACTTACCTAGGGCCAACACCTCAAGGCCTTCCAGAATTTTCCATATGACACCTACCTGTTTTCCAGGCTTCAGACAGCTAGCAACCCCCACTGGGCTCCTCCTTGTCCCACCTGTGCCAGGCTGTCCTCATAACAACTCTTTGCCTTGCTGACCCCTCCCACCATCCTCCCCCGAACTTCTCTCTTTTCAGAAATTAGGAAAATGAGATTCAGACAAGCCCCGTGATTTGGTCAAGGTGGCAAGGCCCCAATAGCCGAAACCGTGGCTTTGTAATTGTGTTCCACCACTGCACAGGGGAGGGAGGCTTCCGACAGGCAAGCCACCCTGATCCAGGCCAGCTCTCCACGCTCGTCAACGTGTGGCTCTCCCTTGTTGCCTTTGGTAATAACAGGCAAAGGCGTGATCTTGAATCCCATTCACTCCTACAAGAAGTGTTTCAGTCCATACCAACGTCATACTGCGGGACCACTTCCTTTTCTCCTGGCCAGCCATGAAAGTTGCTTACAAATAGACTGGAAGGCACATGTGGGAGAGGAGGAGAAGAGGCAAAGAGCCAGCAGGGAGGGCTGAGGGCAAGTTCAAGGCCTGGAGCCCTCTCTCCCTGAAACCTCCTGCCCACCCCATCCCCGCCCCACTGCATCCTGTGCTCTTTTAGCACTTAGCTCTACACTCCCTGCATAGGCTCTGCTGTTGGGGAGGCGCTGGGGGAGCATTTTGCGTACAGGTGAAGAACAAGCTATGGACTTTCCTAACAACTTCATTAGCAAGAAATTTTTTCCAAGATCCTTGAGGTGTGGTGGGTCCAAAAACAATTTTCAATGAAAGGAAGAAAAAAAAAATGCTTGTTATTTCCCTGTTGTCAGATGTGATGCTATCTCCTTTAAACCATTATCATTCCATTGCATTAGTATTCTATTGCACTAGAATTATTATTCTATTACACTGACAAGCACAGAGTCGGGATTTGAGGCCCCATCAATAGTCAACAGAGGCAGGAGGCAACTCCCACCCCGCCTGGGCTGTGTTCCTTTTGTCTCCTGAGGTGTGGGGTGAGGCTGGTGCCCAGCGGCCAGAGGGAGGGCAACCCCAGGACTGGTGGTGGAAGAGGCAAGTTTAAGTCTCTACTAAGCCACCAGCTTGCCATGCGACTCGCCTGAGAGACTCGGAGGGTTCCTTTTGGCCCTGGCTCTCTGAAACTGTTCCTTTTGATGGCATTTCCCCACCAGGGCCACTTCAATCAGGCGAGTCCCATGGGCTCCCTCTGAGCCAGGGCAGCAGAGACCACAAAACGGCTGCTAAACCAGGACAGACAACAGCAGACACCAACACTTCAACGGGGAAAATGGAATGAAGAGGTATGTTGACTTTGTTTTCAATTATCTATAATCATGCTTCGGATAAATGTCAATGGCTATAGTACTACCACTGTGCAAAGCTGGTATGCTTACTTTGGTGCAGATAATGTTGAGAGGTTGGCATTGGGCGGGCTAAGCCTCTGCTGGAGAATGTCCTAAATTGGAGTACCAGTTGGCGTCCCTGCTACCCTGCTTCTGATCCAGCTCCCTGCTAACACACCTTGGAAGATGGCAGAACATGGCCGTGTGGACCCCTACGCCCACATGGGTGATCCTGATGAAGTCCTAGGCTCCTGGCTGAGGTCTGTCCTAGCCCTTGCTGTTGAGGCTGTTTGTGGAATGAACCAGTGGATCCAATCTCCCTCTCCTCTCTTTCTGGATGTGTCTCCTTCTCTGTCAGCATGTCTTTTGAATGAAATAAATATTTTTAAACATGAACTCATGCTTTTCTTTCATATTATACCTTTCCCACACACCTTTTGAAGATGCTCCAGTTGAGTGGATTTTGAAATTCTTTGTACCAAAATACGATTATCTTTTACTCCCATTTCCCATGAACTTTTCGAAATACTTTATATACAACTCCAGTTGCCATGACACCCACCCTCCACCAGGGCACAGCAAGAGAAAGAAACTGCCATGCAGAACAAATACAAACAGGGATTACTCAGACTTGCCCCTTCCCTCCAGGCTGGGTTTCACATAATTCACATTGGTGAGAAGCCCTTCAAATGCATCATGCTGAAATGATAGGAATCTATGACTTCCAAGCTGCTACCAATATTAGAAATTATTTGGCGGGTGGAAGGGGTGTGTGTGGGAGGGTCTGGCATGATGGCTCAGTTGGTTAATCCTCCCCCTGCAAGTTCTGGGATCACATATGGACAGTAGCTTGTGTTCCAATTGCTCCGTTTACCATCTAGCTCCCTGCTTACAACCTGGGAAAGCAGTGGACAATGTCCCAAGTTCTCCTGGCTCTTGGCTTTGGATTGGCTCAGCTCTGGCTGTTGTGGCCGTTTGGGGAGTGAACCAGGATACGGAAGATCTTTCTTTCCTCTCTGTAAATATGCCTATGATAAAAATAAATAAAATCTTTTTAAAAAAATAAATGATTTTGAATTGCAAGAGAGAAGCTTTCCTTTGGAGTGGGTGGCAAGTGGGTAATTGGTTTTGCATGGATCTGAATGAGGTTATGAATATGCAAACAGAAGCTGGAAAAGCTATCAGAGAACTAAATTACCCCATCTAATCAGAACAAGAATGAGTTTCTAAGGCAGCCTAGCAGAGGTGGGGAGAGGGGCTGGAGGGACAGGAAGCAGAGGGGCTGCCTTCTGTCCTGGGAGGGTCTGTAAAGAAAGAGGGACCCCATGAATCAGCACATGGGAGATCTCTCTCTGTCCCTCAAATAAGCACATTAAAAAAAAAAAAAAACAGAAAAGATACTGGAAAATGATAAGGATCGGGAAGAAACAGGAAGTCCCTCTCACAATTCTCAGAGCCCCTTTGTTGTTTCCTGTTGGGTGGATGACCTGCTCTCCGCTGATAAAATTTCCAACATCTCTGCTAAGGATGGTTCAATCACCCATAGCTTTGGAGAGCCAAACAACTCCCATCCACGCGCACCATCCCTTATGCTGCTATCCCAGGGAAGGAGGGACCTACTTACCAATAGGCCATTGGAGCCGTGGACGGTGACACAGCGAGAGAAGGTGTGGTGGATGGAGAGGTCTCGGATGTAGGTGGGCGGGTCATAGCCTCCTTTCTCGTCCACGTCCCCAGCCAGGTGGAAGTGAATTGGGTACTGACCCACCAGCTGCTGTCCCATGTGCTTCAGCTCCACGCCCTCCAGGTGTGCAGCCTTAAAACCCAGGGCAAACTGCGAGAGGAGAGATGAGAGGGACAGGGTGCTCATGAGGTCCTTCTATCCCCTTTGACATCTTCTGACTGCAGAGGAGCCACCCCCAAGGCCATGTGACCTGGCATTCATCAAAGCTGTTCTCTGCAGACCGGCCAGGATGCCTGGTCCTTCCCATGCAGGGGAGATGAACAAGGCATTCTGGGCAGGAGAAGGTGCCGCAAGGCCTTGGGTGGCTTGGAATGGGGATGCCTTGGGGCGGGGGCATCAGCTGGGACTCCCCTCCTTAACTGCTTCCTACACTGCTGAGTGATATTATGATAATCCTGAGAAAACCAGGGAGAGGGGAGAAGGTGTGACCTTAGGGGCCTGGGGCATGTGGGTGAGGGTGGGCCCAGGTGCTATCGGAGGCCTTCTGCTGGGAGCAGAAAAGGGTGTTGACTCTGGCATGTCCCTGAGCCCATACTCTGGTGGGGTGTGTGTGTGTGTGTGTGTGTGTTTGATTTGTGTGAGCGTATGAGTTTGTAGAAGAGTGTATATGTGCATGAGTGTATGTGTAAGAGTGAGTGTATGTGTATATGGGTGAACGTGTATGTGACTGCGTGTATGTGTGTCATGAACATAAGTTATGTGAGCGAATGTATGTGCAAACGTGTGAATGTGTGTGTGTGACTGAGTGAATGTGTGTGGCTGTCTGTGTCAGTGGTGGCTGCACCATGAACTCACTTCACAGTACGGATACAGCTACTCTCAGTGGGTTTCCAGGAACCACTTGCCCTCATGAGGCCTGCACCCCATGAGCTGGCTCACCGTGGGAAAGTCATTCCTACCAGCAAACTTAAACTGGAGGAGGATTATGTTGATGGGCTAATCATTCCTTAGGAATGGTATGCCTGCCCTGGGGTGCCATGTTAAGCAGGATTCTGAAACCTATTTGGACTCACTAGGGGAGGACCCTGATCATTCCAGGATCACTGTGGGGATTGGAAGGGGGTTGCAGCCACTTGTGTGATCAGACAGCATCACCACCTTACGCCACTCCCATCTGCCCCCAGCGAGTCACTGGACATGTGCAGGCGCGTTCTTGGTGCTGACAAGGACTGGGCAGCCCTGGGAGCGTTTAATACATGAGGTGAGGCGAAGCAGGACTCCCGCTGTGACTTCTGTAAATGTCACTCCGTCAGCCGGCTCAGGGGGGATGAGCTAAGTGTTAGCCCCAGCGACAGGACTGCCGCTGTGGAGAGCAGTCCTCATCTGGCTCCCGGACGGCACTGGGCCACCTGCGTCAAAGCCAGTGACGGCACTGAAGAGCTGGCAGGAGTGTGCTATTCCAAAGGCCGGGGAAGGACACCGAGCTCAGAGGAAAGAGGCACCACCTTGCTTAGAGTAAGGACACAGGAGCTCCGGGAAGCTGGCGTCCTGTTCCTTCCCGGAGCAGTGAGGACCCTGCAGCTCAAGGTACCCCTACTTTGGAACTCATGGATGAGTTTAATGCCAGCCCCCCCGCCCCAATTCCCTCTGTGGCTTCTATCTGTGCTGTAAGGGACCTGTTGTAAGTGTGGCTTGGGATGAGTCAAGAGCGGGTTCTGCCAGGAAGTGACCAGACTCAGACGAGGAAGACAGGAGATGAAGTCAACATGGCAGGGAGTGTTGCATGGCTGAGGATAGGAGGGTGGGGAGAGCAGGTGCTCTTTCCCAGATCTCTTCCCTTGCTTGCCTGGCACCCTCTCCGCCCGCACCGCTGCCCATGGACTAGCACCTCCATACCTTAATATGGCCCCCAAAGGTGTCGAAGTTGAAGAAGTGGCAGAGGTGCTTGCTGTAGGGGTAGCATTTTTCTTCCATCTCCCCCTGCACCACAATGTTCCGGCTCAGGAGCCCCACCTCGGCGCGCATGTCCACGCCGTCCATCTCCTCCCCGGTATGCAGGTACTTGGGTTTCCCTGGGCAGAGAGGGCAGAGAGTGACAGGTGGGAAGGGACCCCGTGCCCGTCACGCTGTACCATCCCCCTGTGCTGCTTCCCTCTGCCCACTGCTTCCTCATTACCGTGATCTGTGTACACACACGCTGCCTGCCATCCCCCACCATGGAATCTCGCTCTAGGGCAGAAGTCTTAGCATTCTGCACTTGCTCTCCCCCCACTTCAGAGGGCAGGGTGGGAGATTTGCATGTGGCCCAGGTGCATCTATGCTTGTGGACAGCTGTGTCCTAGAAATGGCAGAATGGCCCATGAAGCCAAGTCTCTGACCATCCACAGATCTCTCTCTGTCTTTCTCTGCAAATCATCTTCTGTGACAGTGGCAAAACCCTGTTGCCTTTTTAACCTCTGTTTAGGCTGTACCACTACAGGCTGGTGCTCAGCAAGGAGCCAGAGTGGGGTTTGTGGGTGCAGGCTTTGGGGTGGTTGGGAGGGCTTAGTGGCATCTTGGCGGATGCAGGTGGAGAGTCTGTGCTACATTCTGTGCTCACCTGGTACTGATCCTCCCACTCTGGTCTTGGAGGGAAAGTTGCCCTGCGCCCTACGCCCCGCGCCCTGTGCTGTGGCCCTTCTGTCCACCCTCCTTCCTCAGGCGCTTGGTATTGGGAGTTGACATTTCCAGGGATTTTTCTCACTTCTCTACACTGAACAAACAGGAAACCTTTGTTCCTGTCCAGGTCGCCCTCCAACATTGCTCAGTCCCTTTGCTGCTGAGGCCAGGGTCCCTGGACTTGTGATCTGTATCTGTCCGCTGCCTGCCCTACCCTCTGCCACCCACACTCACTCAATTCCTTGCCAAATGCACCTGCTGCCCTCCTTGCTGTCTCCTCTTTCTCCCTCTGTGAAGATGTACAGCCCCGATCCTGCATCCACCATGGCCTCAGGTTCTTTTCTGGGATAAAGAGATCTGAGCTGGGCTCTCCATGCAGCCTGTGGTTTAGGTTGCTGATCTGGCATGTAGGCCCTGGTGCTTGCATCTGAGGACGCAATTATGGAGAGCAGCAATCTCCTACGTTGCCTCTTAGCCACACTGCCAGCACCGTGCGGCTTTTCCCCTGACCTTGACTCGGGCCACAGAGTGCGTGCGTCAGCCACACGGGCAGACCGAGGTATAATCAGCACCCACTTCCTTGACCTGGCCCTGTCCTCTCATCCATGGCACAGGCTGGTCCCACCCAGTGCACTTCCTGGGAGCCTGCCCCACAGCTGAGGGTGTTTCCTGTCTTGGGAGATAGTGGTTTCTTTGAAGCATTTTAGTTCAAGCTGCAAAACGGATGTGTGACCGTGTGGCCTTTGGAGCCGTCATTAGTTTTCTGTTGCTACTATAACAAACCATCATCATGGCCTTCCGGAATAAAACCATGTAAAGTCTGTGATATCCCTGCAGGCCAGACACTTACATCGACATTGGAAGGGGCCAGACTCCAGGTGTCAGCATGGCTGGGTTCTTGTGGAGGCTCCAAGGACAAGCTCTCCCTGGCCTTTCTCCAACTTCTGGTGGTTGCCTGTTCACCTTGGCCCAGGGCCCTGTCTTCACTCCAATGGCCCTTCACTCTGTTTGACTACCTCCCTGCCACCCTTTCCCTCTCTGGTCTTTCCTTGTCCCTTAGGGAAGGATGCTTGTCATTGCACTGGGTTCACTAAGAAAACCTAAGCCAGCATCCCTATCAAGAGTTGTGACATTGCCACACCTGCAAAACTCCACTAGCCTCCCCAAAACACAGTCCTAGACCCCGAGGATGCGCTGTGGACACAGTGAGGCTCACGATGGAGTCCACCACAGGTCTTCCTCCAACACATTCCGGGAGCCCAGGTAGTGGCACAGCACATTAAACCACCACTTGTGACACATGGCGCTGATTCAGTTCAAGTACTGGCTACTCCATTTCTAATCCAGCTCTCCACTAATGCGACTGGGAAGGAAATGGGGGGCAGCCCAAGACCTTGGGTCCCTGCCAGCCATGTGGGAGACATGGATGAAGTTCCAGGCTCCTGGCTTTGACCTGATCCAGGTCCACTGGGGCATGAACCAGTGAATGGAAGCTCTCTCCTTATCTCTTTCTCCATGACTCCACATTTCAAATAAACAAGTTTTTTTTTTCCCTTCTTAATGGAGGCAATGATGGCATTTATCTCCAAAAGTCACTGTGATCACTAAGTGAGTTCATCCACAGACATGCTCCCCACAGCCAGAGTCACAGAAATGACATATGTAGCTGACACTGTTCCCAAGTTCAGGTTGGGAGCCATGGTGGGCAGCCTACGGTGATGGGAGTTGGTACATAGCAGCTTTGGCAGCTTTGGCAGCTGTCTGTTCTGTGAGGGTTCCAGGAGCGACTGCCAGGTAGTGGGAGGGACTGTGTTTATCAGTGAGCCAGCAGAGGAAAGGATGGCAATGTGAGAGTTGCCCTGGGTGTGCTGTCTCAAAGCCTCCATCACACCCCCGCCCACCCATTCCTTATCGTAGCCATTGTACAGCTCAGCCGCTGGGAGCAGCTGGGTTATCTGCCCCACTGCCACGTTCGCAGGCCTCTCCCTGCCGGCTCTCCCAGCAAGGTTGTGGACCTCAATCTTCCCCCCAGGCCCAGTTGCAATCCCACCCTGTCTGCAGAATTCTCTCAGCAGCCTCCACCCCTCCCTTCCTCTGTGCAGCCCTGATTTCGGAAGACTGCCAGGGAGAAGTAGGTGGGACCATATCAGCTTTGTTCCCAATTATGTTGAGGGGCCTTCAGCACCGTGGGTATGAGGGGAGCAGGAGGCCTGGGAAGCAGAAGGAAGCTGGGCAGTGGTTTGCATGGGGTTTCAAGCAGTTTCTTTAAAATAACTGACTATTAACTTCAGAGGCAGATGGAGAGAAAGAATAAGAGGAGAAGAGAGAGCTAATACTCCCATCTATCGGTTCACTCCCCAAATACCCACAAGGGCTCCAGCCAGGAGCCGGTAAGGTCTCCCCCGTTGGGTAGTAAGTAACTGGAGCACTGAACCATCACCCCTGTCTCCATGGTCTGCATTAGCAGGAAGCTGTAGTTAGGAGCAGGAGCTGGGAATTGAACCAGGCACCTGAAGGTGGGACCCAGGGTTGCAGAAGAAGGCTGCTTCCCCTCCACCACTACACAGACAGGAGCTCACAGCCATCCTCCGAGGATGCTCCAGGGCCCCAGACCACCTGACAAGGGACAGCAGTTGCAACAGCCTGAATGGCCAAGATGTCCACAGGGTTGTAAGTCCCAGGATGGGGGTGAGGGTGAAGGAGCCATCTGTTGTCTCAGTGTGTTGTCCCTGCAGGACCCAAGAGGAATCTGGTGCAGAGCCAAGGGCCCGACTGATCCTCCTGCTCTAACTGCAGCTACGGGAAGTCAGTCCTTGCCAGGAGAAACACTACAGGTCTCTGCCCTACTGGTCACTTCCCCGCACACACAGACTCTAGCCTCAGCTGGCCCCATTGCCTCTCCTTCACTCAACAGCTCCATGCTGCTGCTGCCCTCCTTCTCCGGGCTGGCTGCTCTGGCCCTCTCAGTAGCTGGAAAGCACCCTCCTCTCCCAGCCCACATTCCTCTCCTTCTGCCATATCCCGTCTCAGCCCTAAAGTGCTCCTTCGTTCTCTTCCAGCTCCCAGGGCCATCGTTTGCTCCCCTGGGAAGGCTCCCGGTCTGCCCTGATTTGGCCACATGCCTGTTCCCAGCGCCCCCAGGAACCCCGTGCTCTGTTCTGCCAGCAGCTGCCACGGCGGCCAGTGTGTTTTCCTTGGAGTGGTCCTTTGATGGATGTCTATTTTCCTCACTGGACTACAGGTTCCCTGAGGGCAGAGAGCACATCTGTCTTGCTCGCCCCGGCATTTGACAGCCTGGCCCGCAGCCTGCCACATGATGTGTGTTCTTTCCTGGCTTGTTGAATAAACGGGGCAATGCCCCTACCCTGTGGGTGTCCCCGCGGAAAAAGGGTGTGACCTCTGGCCAACCCTCTGTGTTAGTTAATCATTATGACCAAAGTCACTTGCTTCCCACCAGCCCCTTACCAAACTCTCCTTGTGTGACCCAAGAGACCGGAATTGAGATGCTATAAAATATACAAGCTTCAACCACTGACCTGTCAGCCGTGCCCTTCCTTCCTTCCCTTCTATAATGGCTAAATTATTGCCCTATTAACGATAATAGCAGCTAGCATCTATTAAACACTTACTGCATGCCAGGTGCTATGTTAAGCGCCTCACATACATCGATTCCTTTCACTCTCACAGCAACCCCATGAAGTAGTTGCGATCCTTGTCTCCATTTCACAGAAGGGAAAAGTGAGGCAAAGAGATTCTGTGTCCTTGCTGAAAGTCACTCAGCAAGTGGCTGGTGTCTCCTGCAGTTCGAATCCCAGAACGCGTGCTTTCATCACTCTTGGTGCTAGTCCTGCCTCAACCCAAGGCAAAACGGGAATGAAAGATGCCTACTAGAATCATCACAGAAGGTGACCAACCCCAGGTCCTCATCTCTCAGCCAGGTCCTCATCTCTCAGTCAGCTTCCAAGAGCCACATACAGGGTGTAGGGTCGCTGTCCACGCTGCTGGCAGGAACCACATGGAACCCTTTGCACTCAGTGGTAACACACACTTGTCCTGCCTTGTCCTCCAGTCTGCTCCCTCTTCCTGGATCAGGAGAGTTAAGCCATGCATCAAGTTTCCTTGTCTGCCTTGGCCTCTTGGAAGCTTCCAGATAAATATTATGGTCTTGGACTCAGCAGCCTCTACAAACCTCAGATGTGCTCCCTTGTGCATTTATTCTCCTTCTGTTAGTCTCTTATTGCTTAGACCTGCCTCGTTCACTTTGTTATTTTCCCTGGTCATGAGATGTGTATGGATTGGTGTCCCTGGTTAGCTGTCCTATGCTCTTTCTGCAAGGACATTAGAATTCAAACTCAATCACTCTCCCAAATCAGAGAAAATGGTCCTCCACCTAAAATGGCTCCACTGATGACTTTTTTGCACTTGACAAAAGTGTAGACACATTTAATCAGAGAACCGCTCTGTTCTTTGTTCTCAGCAGGGTAACCAAGAAGTGACATGAGCCATCTGGCACTCTAGTACAAACCAGGCTTGCATCCCCACTGTAGGCTAACCTGAGTATGTGCAAGGCAGGTGAGGCTAACCTCAATTGCTTGGGAGGCTAGGCGTGTCAGATGCATTTTCAATTCAATGTCACTTGACCCTGTGCGTGTGTGGACCCAATCCCATCGAGTCATGAGGCATCTGTGTCTGTCCAGGTTCCGGGGTGCCCAGTAATGGTGTCCCTTTCTGGGGTGCCCGGTAATGGTGTTCCTTTCTTTCAGGAGCCGCTCCCCATGTTTTTTTTTCTGGGGAGCACTCTTTCTGAAGGTGCTCTGCCATCTCAGAAAGCCTGTCATGAAGAACCTTGCCCCTGACCACCGGAGGATGAATGTACAAGCACCACTACCTGCTCTGTCCCATCCGGGACTTTTGCGCCCTCCATCCCAGGGACGAGATGTGATTGTTAAGGATAGCGATGCCCCAGGGATACCCCCATTGGTTCCTCTCCTCTGATCCCTCAAGTCACCTTGTTCCTCGTGCTTTTGTGGATGTTCTGATTCTGTTTTAGTTCCCGAAGCTGAATAGGGTCCCAGTAAGCCCTGACTCCCTTTTTTTCCCTTTTGCCTGAGGAAGTCAAATTGGATGTCATGGCTCACAACCAAAGAGCCTTGACTGAAACATAACTCCATCTTGGACAGCTAACCTGGATTTACTCGAGGCTTCCTTTTACCATGGACAGTCTGCGATTCCAATAACTTCACGTGACTTAGACTATCGGATTTCTGAGTCCAAATTTAGGGGATGACAAGGGAGGGACCCAAAAACTACTGGGAGAAGAGGTTTAAAACTTGATGGTAGATTGAAATGTTTTCTGATTTTCACTCCTTCCTCCTAAGTTCTTTTATTATCATTGTTATTAATCTTTTGCCTGCTGGTTCACTCCCTAAATGACCACAGCAGCCAATGCCAGGTTAGGCCAAAGCCAGGAACTTGGAGTTCCATCAGGGTCACCCAAGTGTCTCTGCTGCCTTCCTGGGTGCATGAGCTGGGATCTGGACCAGAAGCAGACAGCCAGGATTCAGATTGGCACTCTGATATGGGGGGGCCAGCATTGCAGGTGGCTTCACTCACTTTGCCACAGTGTTGCTCCCTCCCTGTCCATCTCGATGGGAGAACTCTTAGTCACCCCACATGCTGTGCCCTGGTTGACGGAATGTAACTGTGATTGTGCTGCAGGTTCTAAGCCTGGGTCTTCTGAGAGCTCCCAGGAGCTCCCAATGTCCCCACAAGAATGTGTTCCAGGAAGACTGCTAGTCACAGGGAGCCCATCTGAGCCCAGACCATCACAGAGCACGGTGAGTATGTAGTGCTTGCCCTCCCTGTCTCTGACTGTGACACAGTAGGATGACCAAAGCTGCTTCTGATATCAGTTTGCTTCCAGCCCAGCCCTTCCTAGACCCATCCGGCCTGGGGCAGCAAGGTTCCTACCTGCCACTCGGACCTGTGTGGAGGTACAGGCCCTGCACGGAAGCACCTGGAACTCCTCAGCCTGGTACATGGAATAATCAGTACTGGCAACCACCAGGGTGTCTCCGGGCTTCCACGACTCCACGTTGTCCACCAGATTTAGGATGGTACTGTTCACGTTGGTGTCGATGATGACCGTGAGCTTGGGCCGCACTGTATGCCAGAACAAGAAGCACTGAGACACAACCCTTTCACTCCTGGCAAATTCAGGGCTGCCTACCTCTGCCTTTCCCTTCCTTAAATAAGTAAATGCCAGATTTGCCTACTCAAACTCCAAATCACCAGGCTTGCTCAATGCCAGGCCTGGTACTAAAGTTATTAAAAAAATAAATAAATAAAAAAACCTAACCAGAAAAGAGCCATTCATGATCTCCAGCCTGGGGAATTTTCCACTAACTCCTCAGCTGGCCTGACTTGTGGTTGCCTCACCCCACCCATTCTGCTCAGGCTGTCCAACGACCATCGCTCGCATCCACCGTAATTGACAGAAGCCCTAAAGCTCTCTCCCCTGCTCGGAGCTGCCACCCCTAATGACGGCTTTCTGGGGATAGCCAAGTGTCTCTGCGAACAAACCCACCATCCCTCACCCAATCTAACAAGCACCCTGGGAGCTGGGTTTAAAATAATAGCATCCACGGAGAACAAGGGCTGCCTGTCCCTGCAGGGGAGGGCAGGCCCATACATCCACACCCTGGGTCTCTGGAGCTGAGCCCTTCCCTTCCCTGTGTCACCTAAGGGTCTGGAGGCAGCTGACCTGGCCATGCAGCTGGCAGAGCCAGGCTGCCAGCTCCAGGAACATGCAGCATCGGCCGCATTTGGGTCCCCGGCAGGGAACCACTTACCAGGTTTCCCACAGAGGAATCGCACGCGGTAGCCCTGGCAGGCCCGGCCGTGGTCGTAGCACGCGAACCTGTAATCCTGGCCTTTCTTGTAAACAACCTCAGGGCTGAGGCTCACCCCATCCAACGTCGTGGCCTAGGAATGGTATGGAAATGGTAGAGCAAAGTCAGTTTTTCTGTTGAGAAGGAAAGTGATAATTAGTGTTCGAGACATGCACTTACAGAGCTAAAATCATCCCTGAGTGATTGTCCCAGTGGTGGGCCCCATCTGCTACATTGTATGAAGTCCAGGAATGGCTACTCCTTGGCCACGACCCTACTGCACTTGGTCTGCAAACCCCTCGGATAACTGCCCACTCTCCGGGGAGCCCGGCAGGGGACTTGTGCAGGCTGGGGATCTGCATCAGCCCCCACAAGAGACGGTGGCCAATACCCACTTATTGAGGAACCCCACACATACACACACCTTGTACTGTGTTCAGTGCACAGATGCCCCAACCTGGTTCCATATCACATAAGGGATCTTTAACCATTGTTTTAATTTACATTTAAAAAAATGTGCTGAATTTTATTGATTTATTTAAAAGGTGAACGAATCTACTGGTTCACTTCCCAAATGTTCTCACTGGCCCTAGGGCTGAACCAAGGGAGAATTCAGGGACTCAACACAAGTTCTCTCAGCTGGGTAGCAGGAATCCAAAGTCATCATTGCTGTTTCTCCCTCCGCCCACTTCCAAGGTCAACTCTGAGCCAGGAATCGAAACAGCGGGATGTAGCTGGTGCTCTAAAGGTTTGGCCCAATGCCTGCCCTGGGGGCATCTTTTATCAACACTCATTCCACAGGCTGCTTTTAGTCTGCTGTCAGCCTGGGCCCTGGAATTTTGAAAAGTCACCTGGGAATGGGGCTAATGCTGTGGCATAGCTAGTAAAGCAGCTAGCTGCCTGTAACACCGGTATTCCATATGGGTGCCTGTTCAACTCCCTGCTGCTCTCCTTCTGATCCAGCTTCCTGCTAACGCACCTGGGAAAGCAGAGGGTGATGGCTCCAGTGTTTGAGCTCCTACATCCACTTGAGAGACCTGGAAGAAGCTAATGACTTTGGACCAGCCTCACTGTGGCTGTTGAGTGGTCATTTGGAAACCTCACCACCCCACCCTCTCTCCATCCAACCCTCTCTGTAACTCTGCCTTTCAAATAAATAGATAAATCTTAAAAAAAAAAAAAAAAAAAGCCACCCAGGGACAAGAAAGTTTGAGCATTCTTCTAACAATCCAGAAGAACGTTTACAAAGGAGAGCATTTCAAACAGTTCATGGATAATGGAATTAAAAGGTCAATTTATTTTGGTGCAAATACCCTTGAAACCCATGTGAGTTTCTTCACTATCTGCATTTTCCATGAGGTTTTGAAACATCCTTTCTTCTTATCTCATTCCATCTTCCAAGCACAGCGCTGGGTAAGTGGCTTTGGGTCCAGGCTCCCAGAGCCAGCCCGTGGCATAGGCAAAGTCTGAAGTTGGACTCGGGGTATTGCAAAATGGGCTTCTAAGTCCCTTCTTCTCCTTCTGCCCATAGGCCCTGTGCCCTTGACCCCGGCCTCCAGCCTGGGACCCTCCAGGACTGGTTTCAGTCACTGGGATCTACTAGGCAAGCAGCCTAAAGGCCACGTAGGAACACAGGGGCCGGCTCAGAGAAGGGCCGCATGCCACTCCCCAATGGAGCCAGGGTGTGCCTGTAGGAGCCAGCGGCTGTCACTCAGAGACATACAATCGAGACAAGGGCTGCAGCTGTTGTCGTCTTTGGCACGAGGACCAAAGGCACTGGGGCTGAGGAAACAGCAAAAGAAAGAACAATTAAGAAAAATTTTTTTAAACGCAAGGAGGAGATCTTTTCGGAAACAGGGTGTTGAACTCCTGTCTGTGGTTTGGAAGGAGACACACATGGACCTGCCCCGTTCAAGTGCAGCCCTTTCCTGCCAGCCACACGCCCACACCCAGGTGACAGCCAGAGGCAGAGGTTGCAAACTGGCTTTCAGACAAAAGAGGAGGCCTGGGAAGACTTAGTAGGTTCAGACCCGAACTCAAGGCTGTTTAAAGGTCAAGTCCAGCTCCTCTGATCGAGTACTGTGTGTTTTCTAACAAGAAACCCCCAAAACAGTGAGAATCTTACCAACAGACACTACTAAACAGAGCTAAGGCAGCCAACACTGATCTCAAGGCAGCACTCATCTGATTATTCTAAAAAAATTTTTTAAATTTACTGGGGGGAGATTGAAAGAGAACTCTCATTTACCAGTTCACTCCCTATAATTTAATGCCCATAATGGCTTGGGTTGTGTCTGGCCAAAATCAAGAGCCTAGAACCCAGTCCAACAGGTGGGCAGAAGTGGATGGCACAGAGTTGGGTAGGTGGTGGGAACCCAACTCCGTGCCATCCACTTCTGCCTGCCAGGGTACACATTCACAGGAAGCTGGACTTGGAGGGCAGGGCCAGGACTCCCACCAAGCACTTGGCCATGAAACGTAGGCATCCCCATAAGCAGGGTGATCCATAGGCCCAACACCGGCCTTCCTTTTTCTAACCTCTGTTTTGGATAAGAAGAGTTAAAGGAAATGATATGCTAGCATTGCAAAGTGGTGGTGCAACTTGTTGAGACACAAAGCCAGCCCATGGGCAGATCTGAGAGAGAGAGAAAGCGCGCAAAGTAGAAACTGTGGTGTGTGGCTTCATTTTTGTTTGCATTTTTCCAGTCGAACTACAAACTTCCAGAAAAGATGGCCTTGGGGCCAGACTGGGCCAGCCTTGCCACTCCCTCTGTCTTCCTAGCCTGCCTTCTGCCATTCTGCCTCTGTAGTGCCACTCCCTCTGAGGACCTGCCTGCGTCAGTGCCAAGCAGGTGGGCCAGGAGTGGGTGGCAGGTGCAGCCATGAAGAGGGACCCAGAGCAAATGGATTTGCACAAATGGGCATATGGGACAGTTGGTGGGTTCTATAAGTGGGGGCTTGGGCTCTTTGCAAGGAGGAAATCTTGCCTCTTCCCACTCTTGTGGGAACAGGGCAAGGTTGACTTTGTCCACCTGGCCTTGGGAGCAGCCAGCAGCAGGTGCCGTGGCAGCAGTCTGACCTCTCCTGAGTATGAATAGGCCTGGACTAGGGACCACACTACGGACTGAAGACTGGTGGCAAGAGGAAGAATGGCACCTGCTGTACCCAATGTGGCTGGTCTCCCTCAATGTCTCTACAGACACAAGTTTGAATTTGCTGTTGGAGACATATGACTGTTCCTTTTCTGGACTTCCTGGGCTTCGGTTTTTGTCCAGATGCTATTCCAGAATCAAGGGTTTGACTTAATGCAGCAACCTCCAAGGCTTCTCAATTGTGGGAAGGCTGGGGTAATCTGTGTTCTTCTTTGGACTTTCAGGGACTGGCAACTGGAATCCAGGGAGTTTGTTGTCATGGATACTTCTTTTGTAGGTGGGGAGCCTGGGGGGGGGGCACTCGGCCATGCAATGTGGCAGCTGATGGGCAACTGGAGCAATCCATGGAGCTCTTGGCCTGGGGCTTAACTGTGCTTTGTGTGGCTCAGGGAAGGACCTGGTTCATGCTGAGAGCAAAGCAACTGGAAGAGTAGGAAATGCCAAGGCCGGGCTGTATTCCTGGCATGGATAAGGGGCCTTTCCATCCACAACAGGCTGGAGCCAGACAACTGGCACGGCCAACACCAGGAGGGATTTGGAGGCCACGTGAGCATTCTTTGCGGATTTCCAGAAATATGTGGAGAGGGGAAGCTGGTGAAGCATCGGACTTCCTGTGGTCAAGGACACGGGAGAGTGGAGATCTATGGCCACGTCTGATCAGAGCTGGAATGCTCGGGGTTGCAAGAGAAAATTAAAGTTAAATCTGGGAAGTATGTGCTTTGGGGGCGTCCGTACTTTGTGATGGCGTCAGACCCAAGAGGAGTCTGCAATTTGCAATTTAAGCTAGGTAAATCCGGCTCAGTAACGCTGGAGCCCTGTGGAGCACAGAGCATTAGTCAGATAATGAGAAAGCTTCCCTTGCCTTTGCTGCCTGCAGACCAGAGCACCCTTTCCCCGGATAGGTAACGGCTCCCTCCTACCACGCGAGGAGCAGGTTGCATGCTCTGCCCAGGAGAGGTGCAGGAGCGAAAGGCCACCTGAGATTGTCAGTCACTGTGGCTGTCCCACACAGTAACAGTGGGGGTCCAGACCCCAGCATTTCCCCAACCCTGCCACATGGCCTCCAAAGTCCTAGGAACACTTCAGTCTCTTACATAAAAAGATGTTGACTTTGTACAGACTTCACACACACCTTCTCATGCACTTTAAGTTTACCTATTGAGTATTTATAATTCCTAACCCAACGTGAATGCTATAAGGAATAGTTGTTATTTGCTATTGTTTAGGGAATAATGGTAAGAAAAAAGTTATTGTGTCTTAGTGTGTAAAGGTGCCACCAGAGATGCCAACATCCAATCTAGGCACCCGTTTGAGTCCTGCTTGCTCTACTTCCCACCCAGCTCCTTGCTGACAACCTAGAAAAAGCAGCAGAGGATGGCACAAGGATTTGGACTCCTGCACCCATGTGGGAGATCCAGATGAAGTTTCTGGTTCCTGCTTTTGGCTTGGCCCACTCTTGATCTTTGCAGCCATCTGGGGAGTGAACCAGAAAATAAATCCACTCCAACCCTGTAATTCTGGCTTTAAATAAATAAGTAGAAAAATGTCTATGTATTCAATACAACATACAATCCTTTTTCTCAAATGTTTTTTGATCCAAGGTTGATTGAATCCATCAGTATGGGATGTGTGTTTACAGAGGACAGCCGATTAATTTTTTTTTAATTGTGTTGCATTATGTGACACAGTGTTATGAGCACTGGGATTCCCCCCGACCCCTCCCCGAACCCTCTCCCCTTGGTGGATTTCTCCACCTTGTTGCATTACCACAGTTCAAATTCAGTTGAGGTTCTTTCATTGGAAGTATTTATCAAGCATAAAGTCCAGCATCTTATTATCCTAATGAGTTCAACGACTTCTTGGTGAGACCGTCTCTGGTCTGAAGGTAAAGCCGGCAAAGTATCGTCCCAATCAATTAAAAGCCCCAACATAACATCAACTACAATTTACAACATTATCAGCCGACTGTTTCTTTTGTCTGAAAGTGGATAACATTGACCAGAGTAGTTTTCCAGCAACTTTTAGCTTTTTTTGTTTTTGTTTTTTTGTTTGTCTAGTTTCTTTATCTGAGAGGCAGAGTTACAGAGGAAAGGAGAAAAAGAGAGAGAATCTTCCATCCACTGGTTCACTTCCTAGACAGCTTCAATGGCCAGAACTGATTCTATCAAAAGCCAGGAGAAAGGAGTCTCCTCTGGGTCTCCCTAATGGGTGCAGGGGTCTAAGGACCTGAGCCATCCTCTGCTGCTTCTCCAGGCCACAGGCAAGGAGCTGGATCATAAGTGGAGCAGCTGGAATACAGACTGGTGCCCTAATGGGATGCCAGTGCTGCAGCTGAAGGATTAGCCAATAAGCCACCATGCCAGCCCCAGGACTTTTCATTCTATAACAAGCCTTTTAAGAGGCTTCCAATTTTAGTTTGAAGTGAGGTTAGGAGTAGGGAAATAAATGCCACTGCCATTACATCACCTGGGACTTTCTCTCTATCCTGTTGTATCCCACAGAGTCCAGGAGCCCACACCCGAGCTGGGGAGCTGAGAGAAGTGGGAATTGACCCCATCCTTTCTGATCTCCTTGGGTAGAGGGAACGCTGAGAGATCCTGTGCCTAACAGTCTACCAACACTGCTCTAGCAGAACTCGCTGGGGAACAAGGTGATGGGAGCGTTGTACGCCTGCTGGCACTCCAGACCCCAAAGGTACTTCACTGAGCAGCAAAGCTGGGCAGCATAGTCCCAGGTGAGGGGAACAAGCAGCAGGACCCAGGAAGGTAGCAGCTGTGGGGTGGGGCAGCTGGTATGTTTCCCTCACTGCCTTGATGCTGCAACCGACAGCCGTCGGCTCACCCTGTCAGTGCAGGCTAGGAGGCTCCTATCACCCAAGTGACAAGACTCCGTGGCTGGGCCCGGCGCGGTGGCGCAGTGGTTAAGGTCCTTGCCTTGCACGCCCGGGATCCCATATGGGCCCCGGTTCTTATCCTGGCAGCCCCGCTTCCCTTCCAGCTCCCTGCCTGTGGCCGGGGAAGGCAGTCCAGGACGGCCCAAAGCTTTGGGACCCTGCACCCGCGTGGGAGACCTGGAAGAGTCTCCTGGCTTCGGATCAGCATAGCATCGGCCGTTGCGCTCACTTGGGGAGTGAGTCATCGGACAGAAGATCTTCTTCTCTGTCTCTCCTCTCTGTATATCCGCCTTTCCAATAAAAAAATAATAAAAAAAATAAATCTTTTTTTAAAAAAAAGACTCCGTGGCTCCAGAGTCTTCTCCTAAGTGAAGCAAAGCTGCTGGCCTGTTGCAGGGTGGGTACCTGGATATCGATGGGGCGATTGCAGATCTTCCCTGGGTGAGCCGCCCAAAGCTCTGAGATTTTCTCTCCGCCTCTGTTCTGTGTCACTTTATCATGCTCGAACCATTCTGTCCACTCCACATCTAGGCAGAAAGCAGACAGCAGCGTCAGGCCGGAAGCGGCCCAGGGAGGCAGGTCACACCCAGTGTGGTCCCAGGTACCCTCAGGCAGTGGGAATTGAGACTCCTGTGTCCCTGGTTGCAAGTGGTGGGATGTGGATGGTGGTGCACGATCCATTCTCTCCCATGTTTGAGTAAAACAAACCGCCTCTTTTCGGATTCCTCATTTATAAAAGCAGTGTGTATTCTTCGCTGTTACAAAAGCAACTAAACAAAAAGAGAGGAATAAAATCCCTCTGAAGACCCATTCCCCAAGGGCTGCCCCACGGCTGGCAGCTACTTGCGGTCCCAGAAATGGGCTGTTTGAAGACCAGGTCCTGTTGCTGTCTGCATTTTCTACCCAGTGCCACTGCCTGGATCACAACAGCTGTTCTTCAAATTAAAGGAAATACAATGGTAAAGCCCAAGTCTTAACTGTTGGGAGGCATCCCTTTTGGGTTTGTCCCCAGAGTGGCTTCATGCATGACAATCACTTCCGCCTGGAAATCCGTCACTGACACGCCACCATCAAGTGAGACTGCTGGTACTGGTAGGAGGTACTGACTCTGCAGAGAGCGTGGCTCCTGGCTGTCTCTCCCCCCCACCTCAGGAGCCTCACCTTGAACCCACTCGCTGGAGGAAGACACATTGAAAGGCTCGCCGTGCTCCGTCTGGAATAGTTTGGAGACGCGGGCGGCAGCGGAACCTCGGTGGCCTGCCAGAGTGATCAGAGGCTTCAGTGCCCATCCCTCATCACCACCCCACCGTGCCCAGATCCCTTGGTTACAAGACAAACAGATCTTCCCCTATCCCAGCCCATACACGTGGAACTTGGATGGTTCTTTAAAAACACTTTAAAAATCAAGTCATTTTTTATGTTTTCATGGCCTGCTCTTTTGTTTCAACTTAGATTCTCATGAAATCAGACTCGTGATTTGAATTCCTGCCTTGGATCAGAAGCAACAGTGCCTCCTTTGCTGGACAGACAAGGCTCATTCAAAATGCCTTTCTTGGGCCAGGCACGATAGCTCAGTGGCTAAAATCCTCGCCTTGCATGTGCCGGGATCCCATATGGGCACCAGTTTGTGTCCTGGCGGCTCTACTTCCCATCCAACTCCTTGCTTGTGGTCTGGGAAAGCACTGGAGGATGGCCCAAAGTCTCGGGACCTGGCACCCACGGGGGAGATCTGGAAGAAGCCCCTGGATCCTGGCTTTGGATTGGCTTAGCTCTGGCCATCTAGGCCACTTGGGGAGTGAACCAGTGCTTCCATCTGCTGGCTCACTCCCCAAATGGCTACAACAGCCAGGACCAGTCCCACCTAAAGTCAGGATACAGGAATTTCCTTGTAGTTTCTTGTGCATGATGGCAGGGGCTTGGATCCTCATCTGCTGCCCTATCAGGTGCCTTTGCAGAGAGCTGAATCAGGAGTAAGAGCAGGTGCTCTAATTTGGGAGGCTGGAGCCTGTCTCTTCGAAGTGACTTTTTAGCCAAAACTCTTACCCTTGCTTGCTCTTTCTTCCTCGGTCTGATTTTTTTTTTTCCTATGGCACTTTTATGTTTCACATTAAGTCACTATTTTGAAAGAAAAAATTATCTGAGAGGCAGTGAAACAGACAAACATCCACCGAATTTTATTCCCCAAAAGACTGGAGTAAGTTGAAATCAGGAGGCAGGTCTCCCACGTGGGTTGCAGGATCCCAAGGACTTGAGTCATTCCTATTGGCTCCTAGGAGCTGTGCTAGCAAGAAGCTAGAGGCAGCAGCCAGAGCTGGGTATCGAACCCAGGCACTTGGATTTAGAGCACACGTATCTTAACTGCTTGGTCAAGTCAAAGAAAACTTCTTGGAAAATAAAAACAATACTGCAAGTGATTGATATTCAACTGGCATTGACCCTCACCACCATCATGTAACACGGCCAGTTACATGGTTGGTCACTCAACCAGGCATTAGCACAGGTGTAACCACACCCTTGGGGAAGTGGATCATTCAGAAAAACCTCAGGTCTCTTGGAGAATGAGATCTGGTGATGGGCAAGAACAGAATCAGCCCTGCAGCCAACTGTGAATTACCATGATATTCAATGTGGTCTTCCACGGAGGCAGCAGGATTCCCCTTCACAGTGAGAAAACTCCAAGGATGCCTGGAAAACAAGTCAAGCAACAGTAAGGATTCAAGCTCGCTGCATGTGTGAGCCTGCGTGGTGGCGGAGTTGGATCAGCAGGAACCGCAGTGTGTTCTCCAGCAGGGTCTCCGTTCTGCAGGTGAACAGAATCTGTCCTTGCAAGCACTCGGCTTCTTCCCCTGCCTGGCTCGCCTGCTGTTGGTTTTATCATGAACCTCTTCATCTCTGAGCTGCCAGTAGACCCACCATGAGTCACAAGCATGCACACACACACACACACACACACACACACACACACACACACACGCCAGCAGACCCACCAAGCTCAGTTAGACTCTCATTCAGGAAGTGCCCTGTCCTACCTCCTCCCTTAAGAAAATGTTTTCGTTGTGTTGGTTCCCTGAGACTTGGCCTCGAGAAACGTGCTGGAGGCTAATGGGGCTGACCATACGGTTATCCACCTTGAGCCACGAAAAGGATTGACACACCCTAGCTTCCTGATGGGTGGGTACAGAGGGAGAAAGAGAGAAGTGTGGAAGATTTTGCAAAGTTGTCTGCCCTCCTGGGCTCTAAGAAAGTGCACACATTGCTGCAGGGGCAACAACGTTCTCTGAGCTATCTGTCTTTCTCACCATGCCTAAGGCAGAGATGGGTTCAGGACTCAGCACCCAAAACATGGCACCTCAGGCGCTGCCGGTTGAAGGAGCTCTAAGCAGTGGTAGCAGGAACCCTGCAATCTGTCGGGCCCTCCTTGTACCCAGGAGAAAGGGATTTGCACACTTTCCTCTTGTTGACTGGTGTTTCGTTCTTGGCTCCAATCAAGTGTGGAGAAGGGTGGAAGGAAAAGAGCTGCCCCGTCTCCCGCAGCTTCTCTCTTACCACAAGCAATCTGTAACTTTTGGAGCTCTTTGGAATGCAGTCCACTGGGAAAATAGGCAAGGACTATACAAGGTCCTTAAAGGCCAAGGCGTTTCCCTCACATGTATAAAGTGAATTCTAATTAAGCCACTAGCTCACTAAAGCAGCTGCAGTGTGTCATTCCTACCCACTTGCTCGACAAGGATGCAGAAGAGAGTGTGACGACACACCGTTCACATCCACAGTGATAAGCACAGATTCTCTCCGAGTGACTCCTCACAGCGGCTGGGCATTCAGCAGTGCCATCCTCTTGCTTGAAAGCCTGCAGTGGCTTCCCCATTGCCCTCTTGGCCAAGACCCCGAGGTTCTTCCTGTGGAATCCTGGCCTTGCTGCGTCCCATCCTGGCCTCATAGCCTGCCCTCTCTGCCTGACAGGAGGACTTTCCCCATATCTTCTACACAGCTAGGTTTTTGCCCTGGAGCTTAGAACCTGCTGCTCGGATCTGTCTGGGGCACCTGCTTGGCTTTGCTCTCACTTGCAAGTCTGCACCAAACCCTGCTTGCCTGCTCTTTCATACCCTTTAGCCTTCTTATTAATCTCTACCTTCCCAGAAGAGCACAGGAGACTTGGCATACAGTCGAGCGTCTCCCCGCAACATCTGTTCAGCCACCTGCATGGGTAAGTGGATGGGCGATCCAGATCTCAGCTCTACTGATTTTAAATGCTGCGAGTCTATCCCGCAAAGTGTGTCCCATGCACACGAGCCCAGCCCCACTTCCCCGAGGGAGGCACAGCAGGTGTCATACCTCCTAGGGCTCCAGAAGGAGAGAAAAACAACTGATATTTACTGAGGAGGGGCCAACCATTCTGCTCACAGGTTGTTGAGAGTCACTGTCAAGATAATTCCTTTTTCTGATTCAGGAGCCACACACACACAAAGTCCCACTGGCCTGTGGTCATATCTCCCAGGAGGGAATGGCCCGGACTCAAGTCCAGACCATCAGGTGCCAGTTCCCTCATTGCTCTAGCTCCGATTCATTCATAAACCAGCCTTTGGTTTTCTATAACAGTAGAGTGGAGGCGTGATCAGGGTTGGCTAACAATGGAAACCTACCATGCCAGGAAATCACTGCCATCTTTGGCTGCTTCCATTTCCTGCTTCAAATTCCCTTCCAGACGGAGCTGCCCCTGGGCTGTCCAGTGTGCCCCCTGGAACCTGAGACACCTATCCCTTGGCACAGGGAATCTGCCCAGCCCATCTAGAGGTGGTGCTCTGAGCCAAGACAAGGGGCTGGCCTGTCTAGGCCACTGCCAACCTGGATCTCAGTAGCCGAATGGAGAGGCACCCAAATCTCCCAGGAGTCACACGCAGGTAGCATTAATTTGTCATGGAGCTGGGATCTGACAGCTTGACCCAAGCTGTGGTTACTGCGAGGGCAGCAGTTCCCTGCTGAGGCCGCTCAGTGTGCCCACCAATGGCAGGCATGAAGCAAGCACAACAGCAGTGAGCAATGTTTGCCATTCAAAACAAAACCCCTTGGGGAACAAGCCCTAAAGCCTGCGGAGGTGGAAGTGCTGGGTGGTACCTGAATCCAAGGTGCAAGAAGTGCTTGCTGCCCAGTTTGGTCATTGCCTTTCGGGCCATGTCATCCAAGTTTCGGGAACCTTCGTCATTCACTGCGACGGAAAGGATCTGGCCATCGGGCACCGCGTTCAGATACTGAGCCAGACGCTCGCTTTCCTTCTTGGATGTGTAGGTGTCAAACCTAGAAAGGACACAAAGAGAGGAAATTCTCAAAACAGAGGAGTCCGAGCACACGTCGGTGTCGTGACATGCCAGCATGCCAGCATGCCAGCCCAGGCTCCCAGCCGGGCTGTGGCTGGCAAACAAAGTTGCTTATATTGCAAAGAACAAGTCACTTGGCTGGTTTTGTATACGAGATTCACAATACCCAAGAAGAAGGGATTAGACCAGGGTGGACAAAATGCCAGAGAATTGAAGAGAGGAGGAGGATTTCGAGGGTTGCTTTTTCACGTCCCTCTTTCATCTGGGGACAGCCGCTCAGACCCACCTAGAAAAAATGTGTGACTCTGGGAGATGGTTCAGACATTGTCAATGGCTTGGAATATGATCTCTGGTTCAGACTGAAATTGCTCTCCTCAAATTCCTGAACCAGAGATCATGTGACTCTCCAGAATCATGACTGTCATCTCCACAGCAGCCCGTCTACAGTGAAGCATTGTCATTAAAATGTCATCTCCGACTTGAGAGTCGCAAGAACATAACTCCCGACCATTGGAAACATGTTCCTTCTGATTATTTTTCTGTTTATCATGTTTTAAAATCCGTGTTGTGGTAAGGAGGGTTAAGCCTCTGTCTTGCAACACGAGCATCCCATGTCACAACACTGGTTTCACTCCCTGCTGCACTGCTTCTGGTCCAGCTCCCCACTAATGTGCCTGGGAAGGCACCAGAGGACGGCCGAGTGCCGGAGCTCTTGCCACCTGCCTGGGAGACCTGGATGGAGTTTCTGGCTCCTGGCTTCTGCCTGGCGCAGCCCTGGCTGTTGTAGCCATTTGAGGAGAAAACCAGAGGATGGAAGATTGATTGGTCTCTCACCCAACAACCTCCCTCCAACTCCCTTTTGCTCTGCCTTTCAAATAAATAAATCTTAAAAGGGAACACTTTTCATGTATCTTCTTAAATTTTAACTGACAAGGACAGAAGTCCAAACTGACATGAGTAACTCATCTTCATCCATGTAAAACACCAGGAATTATGGAGGGTTTTTTTTTTTTTTGCCACTGGTAAGAACTGGCAAAAAAAAGGGCACTTTTGTAATGATTCCAACTCTCACACAAATATAAAGATTTTGTGCAATTACTATGGAAATTGCAAAAGAATTAGTCTTGCTACTTAAGAAGCAAAAAAACAGTCCTAAGATGAATCCAGAAAACAAAGCCAGCTTGAATAGCCAAAGAGATTTTGAAAAGACAAGAAAAACAAGGGTGGTAGCAGTGTGGGAGCTGGAAGGGGGCTGCTGAGCCCTCAAGCTTGTTTTGCATTGTTTTAATAATTTGGTCCACCCTCTGTCCCCTTCCTCTCATCCTCCACTGTCCCTCCCAGGGTCTGTGAGTGGCCAGCCTGGCACTTCTCAGCCCCTGTCTTCACTCACTCATCCCCATCTTTTTATCTCATCAAATCCTCACCTGCACTCCCACCACTGCAGGTAACTTTCTCAGGTGGTTTTAGCGTGTGTGTGTGTGTGTGTGTGTGTGTGTGTGTGTGTGTGTGATGATTCCTGCTAAACTCAGCCTCATCAGACTTGCAGGGATTTTCCTGTTGGGTTCTCTGTTACACATCTGGTACCTAGTTCAGGACCTACTGAATGCCCAGCAAGTGTAGACAGAATGAAGACGCATGTCACATGCTGAGGGCAGGCAAGCCTCACCGGTCTGAATGAACAACAGTGGCTGATTTGGGGTCGATGACATGCACAATGACTCCACGGTGGCCCCAGCTCCTTTCGAAAAAATAGCCTCCCTCTTGCATGCCCCCTGGGTGGAGGGTCTTGTTCAGGAACGTCCAGGAGAGCTTCTTCTGTCCATGCAACTCGAGGGTGCCTCCCCTGTCGACGCCAAGGTACTTCAGGCCAAAGTAAGGGTCGGGCTCAATGCCTTCATCAGCCCTGTGAAGGAAGACAGCTCTGTCTGCTCCATGTGGAGGTGACATGTCTGCGTCTCATCATGGAGGGCCAGGGTAAACAGAGTCTCAGCATGGCTTCTGATCCCAGCCTCCCACTAATGCACACCCTGGGCAGAGCGGAGCAGCTGATGGCCCAGGTACTTGGGTCCCTGCTACCCATGTGGGAGACTCGGATGGAGTCTTAGGCTCCCAACTTAGGCTCGGTCCAGTCCCCATTGGCTATTGTAACTGCGAACTGGAGTGGATGAGATCTCTGTTTCTCTCTCAATCTCAACTTTGCCTTTTAAATAAATGTTTTCTTTAAGATTTATTTATTTGTATTGGAAAGGCAGACCAGCTCTATGGAGAGAAGGAGAGACAGAGGGAAAAAGACCTTCCATCCGCAGATTAACCACCCTTTGCAAGTGTCAGCAATAGCCAGAGCTGAGCTGATCTAAAGTCAGAAGCCAAGAACTTCTTCTAGGTGTCCACATGGGTGCAGGGATCCAAGGCTTTGAGCCATCTCTGCTGCTTTCCCAGGTCATAAGCAGGGAGCTGAATGAGAAGTAGAGCAGCGGGGACCCAAACTGGTGCCCACATGGGATCCAAGCACTTGCAAGGTGAGGATTTCGGCATTGAGCCATTGCACTGGGCCCAAAAAATAAATCTTTAAAAAAGAAAATCAACCAAACAAATAAAAACACCAGACCATCTGCAGGACAGAATGTTAATTCCTGTCTCATCCTTTTACCTTTTACTGTGCTTGGGAAGGCCCCTACCCTCCTCCCTGGTCCGGCCTCCCATCAGATTCAAGAGGTGCCCAGGTCTGGCCTCCTTACCTGCCATACAAGATGATGCTGAAGTTGCCTTGGAAAGGGCAGAGGGCACTCCCAGCATGCAGCTCTCCGCCGTTGTCAATCAGGATGTGCCGGGTCCTCAGCACAATGGGCTCCTCGTGGTCTTTAATGACTAGTTTGCCTGGAGAGGTGGGGATGGAATTGGAATAAAGAAAGTTGGGGAGAGGGTCAAGGGCAAGGTGCAGCAAGGCTGAGGTCAGAGCCTTTGAGCGCCTCTGGCCCCATCCAGGTGGGTCACAAGGCACATTTCCCAACCACGTCCACCACCATGGAAAGAAGCTGTGAGCGTGAACCCAAGTGCACACCCTTTAGCCTGTTCACCAGCAGGCTCAGCCGCCTGCAGCCCCTCTCTGCAAGGCTTGCGGATGGGCACAAGCGGGGGGCCAAGTTGCTCACCTCCTTCTGTGATGTGGATGGAGTGGACAGTGGCTGAGGAGGTGAGAAGCAACATCTTGCCCTGGCCAATGTGCACCTGGTGGGCCTCATCGTGGCCAGGGTTCCAGGGCTGCAGCTCTGGGCTCTGGTCAGGACACTCGGCAACTGCTGCCAAGGACAAAGAAGAATGACCACTCCCATCCTCTGGCATCACCACACAAAGACCGCCCCAGGCCCTAGGGCACTCGGTTCTCTGTCAGCACCCTTGCATGGTTCAGTTTCCCCAGTTACAGCAGGAAAGGAAGATAAGATGACTACTCAGCACCTTCTATGATTCAATGTTAAGCCATAATTTGCCCAGATTCTTTGGGTTCCAAGATGTTCTGCTGCCTGGAAAGTGGTAGTTGAAGAGTTAACAAAACTCTTTTCCTTAATGCAAGTGAGAATCTGACCTTTGGCTAATTTTCTAGCTCTGTTCCCCAGGAAACCTGAGAAAGATGGTGTTATATAAACTGTTACCAAGCAACCTTGCTTATAACGGAATAGATCCCTGACTGGTGAATAGTCTCTAAACTAAGAGGAACCAGAAATATGCTCACACCTGGCAGGCTGGCATGCCACAGGCTTTCCTATGGGCTGCCACTCTTGCTATTGGGCGTGTCTCGAGAGCCCCAAAAGTTATGTCTATGGAGTTTCTGTAAGACATGATGGCTTGAGGCCGGTGTTGTGGCCTAGCATGTTAAACCCAAGGTGATGTTCTAATTTCCTTCAACCCAGGTTGTTCCCTACCTGGAGAAACAGAAAGGAGCACGTTGGAAACAACGGTGTGTCTTGCCACCAGAGCCTTTCCCATGAAACAGAAAACCCTGACACTGCTTGGATGCAGCTCCGGGGTGACTCACCTGTGGCTGTGGGGAAACGGACCAGGACCAGCCAGCTGATAGTCAGAACAGCCTTGAAGGAGAGGTCCCACCTGCCGGCCGCTCCCATCCTAACAGAGTGTTCTCTGAAACAGAGGCACATGGAGATCAGACCTGCAGCCTGGGCGGCTAGCAGTTGGAATGCAGGGGAGACAGGGAGAGGGGACAGACAGAGCTACACATACACATGCATACACACGTACTCACGCAACAGAGGGCACTGCCCAGGCCATGGCGGGCACCCACCAGCCAGCCCCAGGTCTGAGCAAATGGAGACACACACACTCTGCCCTGGCCCATCCTGGGCTCTGTACTCAGAGACTGAGGGGAAGATGGAATTTCATCCTTGCTGTTCATGCTGCCTCTCCTCCAGAGTAAGACTTTTTTCTATTCTTTTCTTTTTTTTTTCCCCCTTAAGAAGCACAATAATTCCCACTGAATACACTGAACATGAACCGTGAGCCAGGTGTCCAATGCCACCAGCTCACTGTGTCACCTCAGCTAATTTGCTCAGCCTCTCTGGGCTCCAGGTTGCTGGTCTGTCACCTGAGGCCGTGGACTGGCAGATTTCTCATCATGATTTTACTTTTCTGCACTTCTAAAACCGGTCTTTGATGATGGTTCTTGAAACGTGAACATGACGCCTGCATGGCACAAACCCTCTTCATGTGGGGCTGGCACCAAGGCGCAGTGAGTCAAGCCTCTGCCTGTGGTGTCAGCATCCCATATGGGCACCATTTTGAGACCTGGCTGCTCTACTTCTGATTCAGCTGCATGGGAAGACAGCAGAAGATGACCCAAGTCCTTGGGACCCTGCTCCCATGTGGGAGACCCAGGAGAAACTCCTGGCTTTGGATCAGCTCAGCTCCAGCCATTGCAGCCATTTAGGGAGTGAACCAGTGGATGAAAGATCTCTCTCTCTCTTTCCCTTTCTGCAAAATTGCCTTTCAAATCAACAGAAATAAATTAAAAATAAAAAAAACCTCTCTGTATGTCACCCACCTACCCAAGAGGAGCGTGGCACCAAGATAGCCCCCATCCCATGCACATTTTCTTCTTCTTAGTAACTGCTACCTGAGCACACAGCCTCACACACAAAAAAAGAAAAGACCACATGCCTCACTCTACCCTGTATTAGTGCGGCCTTGGAATTAAGTCCTGCCCCACATAGCATGGGAAGAGTCTGCCAACTCCAGGACAGGTCTTTAGGAATGGGCGCTCCCTCCTGCCTGCTGGCCGGAAGGCAGCTATAACGGCTGGATCTCCAGCAGCCATTGTGCATTGTAGGAGCCAAGTATTGTGGCTGGCAAAGCAGAGTGGAAGAACCCAGTCCTCCCTTGTATGGAAACTAAATAGACTTAATGATGGATTTCTTTACATCTGCTGGATTTAGTTGGCATTTTTTTTCCTCCTTATACATAAAGCAAATATGAGAATATGTCTAGATAAACTGTATGGGCTTTAAAAAAAAAAAAAAAAGAAAGAAGATTTTCTTTTCAGACTGTGAGGCTACTCAGAAAAATGTCTTTGTGTTCTGCCTGGCTCCTCTCTCACCTCTGGGATCCCTCCCCTGTCTGTGGTTGTGGCCGGAAACAAACAGGTGCTACCACACTAAGACAAGCGGACTGGGATCTCTCCCACCTGAAAAAGTTGCCACCCTGTCAACATGGCCATTCAGAGTGGAGTCCTTGGGTGAGCTCAGCAGGGGCAGCAAGCGGGAGGGGGCTGAAGCCCTGCCCTCTGCCAGGTACCTCCTGAGCAGGTACGCTGGGGAGGAAGTGTTGCTCCCTGCATCTGTGCTGCCCTGCCCTGTGAGCGGCTCCCAGGCACCCCGCTCGGCCCAGGCCTGGTCTGTAGAGACCAACAGACCCCATTCTACTATCCTCAGCCCACCGCTTGAGTCATCATCACAGTGCCTGAGAATGGCTCATCCCCACACCGCCCCCCCCCAGAGAGAAGGACTTGATTTCATCCACTTTGCCACCGGCAGGAGGGGACCCCAGGGACGGCAGGAGACTTGCATAGTCCTCAGGGAAATGTCCTGAGCTCAGGTCGCAAGCAGTTGGCAAAAATCTGATGTAGTCGCCGGCTGGCAGTGGAGTACCAAACATGGCAAGTCCAGAGGGGCTTCTCTGCAGGGGAACTTGGACTTGGAACAGGACCAAGACAGGCAGGAAGGTTGGTGGTGACAGTGACCACCCCATCAAGCTAGTTCTGTGTGGCAGCAGACTCCACCAGGAGCGTGCGGGCAGGTACTCGATCCAGGTCTAGAAGTTGTGACATCTCTCGGAACCCAAGCACTCCACTCCTGTGGGTTCCTAGAGGTGGTGAATATTGCCCAGGAGCTCTGCAGCCGCTGAGAGAGGCTTCCTCCGGGAGTCACCCACAGCCTTCTGGCAACGGGAAGGAAGATGCACGTGCAGGCTGGCACCGCCGTCTTGGAACGCTTCCAGCTTGAAGGAGTGCTCACCGGCTTCCAAGGCTCCCAGGCTTGACAGGAAGCAGTGGCCCGGACACGGGCAGGACCTCGTGGCGTGGGAGGGCTGCTGGATAATAGGGTCAGCGCAGCCCTGGGGGACTTGTTGCTTTTAGAGAGGGGGGCCTCGTTCTGCCCAAGAACCGGAAACTCAGTGATGCTTTTCTGAAAGCTAGTTCTCCGGATTCTCTGTGAGTACCTATGGTAACAGGATATAGAGTTTTTCAGAAGCTTGGAGTTCTCAAGTTCGGCGGGTCCTTGAGTCTGCCATGCCTTGTACGGCTAAGGTATTGCTTCCTGCGCCTTCTGGCTGCCTTCAGGCTGCCATCAGCCACCGCCATGCTAGAGTGTCAGGCTTGCCACCTGCAGGGAGAGGAGCGGAGCGTTAGAAGAGCTTTCAGACAGGGCAGGTGGGACGGGCACAGCTGTTAAGTTACAGCTGGGAATACTGTCTCCATGCCAAAGTTCATGCGTTCAAGTTCAGGTTCCATTTCTGATGCAGCTTTCTGGCCCAATCAAGAATGCATGTCACCCACGTGGGAAACCTGGCTGGAGTTTCTGGCTCCTGGCTTCTCCCTGGCCTGGCTCTGGCTGTTGCAGGCATTTGGGAAGTGAAGAAACAAAGGAATGATCACTGTCTCTCTGCCGTTCAAAGGAGGGAGGGAGAGAGGGAAAAAGAGAGGGAAGGAGGGAGGAAGGGAGGGAGGGAGGGGAGGGGAAGGAAGGCAGGCTCTTGATAGGCTCTGAGCAACAGCATCATCAAGGTTAGCCCAGGTTCCATTGCTCCTAGACAGACTTACAAGATGGTCTGGCCAGAAAGGAGAAGAGTGGGAAGAAGGCTGTTAGTTTAAGCCAGGCAGGAGGAAGCAGGGAGACCTGAGGACCTGAGCTGGAAGCTCCTGTGTGGGGCATGAGACAGCAAACGACAGTGTCGCTCTCACGGTCAAAGCCATAGGAGGAGCCAGGAACTCCATCCAGGCCCCCCACACGGGTGACCAGGTGCTGACTACTCAAGTCACCACCACCTCTGTCTCACAGGGCATCAGTAGGAAGCTGGAACGGGAACACCAGAGCTGGGACTCAAACTCAGCCCTGTAATATGGGATGGGGGCACCCTAAGAGATGGCTTAAGCACTACCTGGGTAGACAACTTAATCTTTCTGAAGTCCCCAGGTCTCCCCTGTGCAAGGATAATAAAAACAAGCGGGGTGAGCCCGGCTGGGTGCCAGGGACTCCTTCGTGCATACTTTACACGTTGGCACTTCTGTTTTCCTATGGCAACCACCCGAGCCTCCTCAGGTCACACAGCAAGCAGGTATGGAGCTCAAAGCCTGCTCCCTTGTTCAGGCACCCCATTTTTCATCTCTAATGACCCTTGGAGACACAGTCTCAGATTCTGAGAGCCTAGGAGCGACTGTGCAACTGGCACTGCCCAAGTGCTGTAACGGGTATGACACCTTCCTGGAGAGCTGGCTGGGTGGTGGGAGGCTGAGACGAGATGAGAATCTAGGACTCTTTCTCTGGGGCAGCTGGAAATCATGACCAGAGGGAGACAGAGACCAGGGATCTGCTGCCCAGGGACAGGACGCTCACCTGACACCTGATAGAGCCAGACCCAGCCTGCCCCAGTGACAACCTTGCCTTCTTCTCCTAACTTCGGCAAGCCATGTCCTGTCCGGCAGACGAAGGCATCTCCTGGCTCACCTGGCAGAGCGTTCCCAGGAGGACACAGAGCAGGCAAGACCCAGGACGGCAGGAGCCATTCTGGTCCACAGTTAAGGTCATCAGGAAGCCCCCATGCTGGGGACCCCTGACAGCCGGAGCTCCCTCCTGTCAGCCCCTTCCAGAGTGCCTGACATCAGTATGGTATGCATTGACTGCAGGGTACAAGGGACAGCTGTTGTGGGGGGACTCCAGGGACAGGGACTGCCAGGCTGCTGCCAGATCAAAGAGAGAGAAGCCTCCGAGCATCCTGTGGCCCCCCACAGCTCAGAGTGTCATCGCTCAGTGTGCTCCCAGAATACGTCTCGCCGGCTCACAGGGACGAGTTACTCCTTTCCTTGTGAAACCACATCTGCCCAGAACTTCTGCCATGACTCAGGGACCAGAGACATCCCAGGCCTGGCCCAGTTCCAGAGACTTCTAATCCCTGGAGATGGAGTAACTTATAATGGGACCTCGGGCTCACAGACCAGACAGGAATACGACACCTGCCCCAGTCAGCATGGGTGTCCGTGTGCTCATCACACATGCACCTGGGCACGCATGAAACCCAGGTTCTGACTGAGCAGGTCTGGGCAGTGGTGATGTCTGTGGGCAACGGAGCCCTGTCAGACCAGTGGTGAACTCTCACCGACACTTTTTTCCTAATAACGGCCGCAGCGGCACCCGCAGCCCCTTCTGCGTCAAGAGGAGTACAAAAGCCACCTGTATACGTCTCTGTGCGCCTTTTTGTCCATGCGACTCCCACTTTCTCTCTGCCACTCCATTGTGTGGAGGAAAGGCCTGAGAACAGATTTCCCCCCAATAAAGGCTTCTTCCCAACAGTTGACTGAGGCCTTTCTTTCTCTGGTGGTCGGTGAACCTGGCAGGGA